CCCCCCCCCCCCCCCCGAATCAAAATCCTGGCTATGGGCCTGATGCGGGTAGTCATTTCTCAGTATGTTGAGCTTGAACATGCATGGTTAGGAGAAGGGGGAATGGTTCTTGCCTAAAGCTATTCAGCTCTAGAATATTCTCGCTGTGGCTCTGCCCACAAGCAATATCCAGGTTTGTGAAGTACAAAGTCCACAAGAAGTACATTAAATTTCTATTTGGTTTTAAACATGATTTGCATAAATCAAGATCTGGCTGGCTACGTTCACCAGCTTTTTCCACATATCACTAATGAGCCCATTTAAATTATCCTAAAAATGCCTCAGATTACCTTGAGGCTCATCTGCTTCTTCCTAGTTCAACTTAATTTCCTCCTCCGTGACTTAAACAAATCCAAAACCAAAGAGACTTCAACTATGCTGAGCTAGAAGAGCTCAACTACATAAACAAGACCTTTGTTGCACAATGCAACCAGACTGGTTTACTGACCAATGCTTTTGAAGAACTGAACATGTGGCTGGACTAAAATATGCAGCACCTTTGTCGCTTTCTTATCAGAGATTTTATGAGGCTCTGCAATAAAACAATTAAAAATTAACCATGCAGCATTCAGTCCCAATGGCTTCCTGCTGGATGTACGGCCCCCTGCTCTCAATTTGACATTTCCTTATTTTTCTGTTCTCCTAGGGATTGGGCATTTAATATTGATAAGGTGAAATAATATAATAATAGCTTCTAAGCAATATGCAAACCCAGCGGTGTCCACCGGTTCAAAACAGTGGCTTATAACAATATGCTAAAAATTACCATAGGCAAGATATTCTGTTTTATCTCTGGTACAGAAAAGATAATTAAAACCTTCATTTGCTTTCTAAAGGCAACAGTTTGTTACAATTTATACATGAATAAAGGTATAGATTTGAAGTATAAAGCTAAAAGAAAATTAAACCATCTCACATTCTTTCTATCCATATCCCTTGGTACTTGAAAAATAGTTAGCCCAATATTAATGGATTTCCCACAAATATTAAAAATTGTATTGTCGAAGGCTTTCATGGCTTGAACCACTGGGTTGTTGTAGGTTTTTTGGTCTATATGGCCATGTTCTCTGAAGATCCTCTGATCCTTTGAAGATGCCAGCCACAGATGCAGGCAAAACATCAGGAGAAGATGCTGCTAAAACATGGCCCTACAGCCCGGAAACCACCCAACACTCCAGCTGTGAAAGCCTTTGACAATACAGTACCATTAAACCTACTACTTTCTACTAGTAATATGGCATCATCTGCATATCCTAAATTATATACCACTTCAATTCTTTACATTAAATTGCTCTTATGCCTATGAATTACTCAGTAAATGAGACATTAGCTACCATAACATGAGGAAATGTATTGAGGGGTTGCAGCATTAGGAAGGTTAAGAACCACTGCTGTAATAGAAACAGGAAGTAAAGAAAACATTCTGGCATTTAGCAATGGCCTTTTTACACATTCATACTTTAGAAGGGGAGTCATACTGATGAAACTCTCCAGTGGCCTCAACAGGGGGGTTGAAGAACTGTGTAAGATTCCATGTCTTTTTAATGAAGACCGTTTTCACTGGCATCAGCACTTTCATTTTATTCTAAAGTTCATCTTTGATATCAAAATTAATTAGATAAAATGCCCCAGCAGGAATGTTTTCAAAGAGTCCCCCCCCCCCAATAATAGCAAAGGGATAAGAATAGATGAGGATGTCTATTGAAAAAAATTGCCTTCATCTGTAACAGCTCTGGCACCATGCAGACTCTTTTTGCAATCCTTCTCTGTACTGCCTTAAGGACTGACGTAAGACACTAAACTTTTTGTGAAAAGCAAACAAACTCAGGAAACTTCCAATAACATTTAATGTTTGAAAAATGCAGATATATCATTTTACTCTTCCAGTCAGCTTGTTTGTATGCCACTGTACTTTAAAAATAGTTTTGGTTAGGTATTATACATTTACAAATACAGTGGAACTGAATTTTATGAATTAATATATTCCATGAAATTATTTTATTATACTGTGATCAATGTAATAATCACACTTGTACATTTTTATTACAGAATTATTAAACAATTTCAGAGTACTACAATGAAACAGCTTCTTATAGTAAAAAAAATGTCTTTGTTCTTTATAATCTTACAGGTAAAGGTAAAGGTTTCCCCTGAAATTAAGTCTAGTTGAGTCCAACTCTTGGAGATGGTGCTCATCTCAATTTCTAAGCCAAAGAGCCAGCATTGTCCGTAGATGCCTCCAAGGTCATGTGTCCAGCATCACTGCCTTCCCGCTGAAGCAGTAACAATGGGAGCTCATCCCGCAACAATGAGTAACAGTGGGAGTCTCACCCCATCTGCAGATTTGAACCGCTGACCTTCCGATCAACAATTAGCGGTTTAATCCGCTGTGCCTCCATGGCCCCCGCATTCTTCCTACAATGGGCAAAAAACAACAGCTAGAAGAGTCACATCTGGCTGTATACCTAAATAGTAGTATTACAGTACTAGATCACAACCTGGAACATCCAAATTTTCCAGGTTGTGATCATGATGCTGATAGCAACTGAAGGAATTCAACTCATGAAGATAATTAATTATATCTTAGTTTTCCTAATTTCAAAGATAGTTGACAATCGAGATTTTCTGCATCCATACAATCTCCCAAACTTATTGAGAAATAAATGCAATTGTGTTTATTATGTCAGATCTGTGATTGTCTTGGCAAGAATTTTAATAATTTTAACTAAAATTATAGCCCCCTGCCCCGGTGGTGCAGCAGGTTAAACTGTTGAACTGTTGAACTTGCTGACTGAAAGGTTGGTGGTTCAAGTCCAGGGAGCGAGGTGAGCTGCCGCTGTTATCCCCAACTTCTGCCAACCTAGCAGTTTGAAAACATGCAAATGTGAGTAGATCAATAAGTACCGCTTCAGCGGGAAGGTAACATTGCTTCATGCAGTCATGTCGGCCACATGATCTAGGAGGTGTCTACGGACAATGCCGGGTCTTCGGCTTCTAAATGGAGATGAGCACAACCCCACAGGGTCGGATTCAACTAGACTTAACATCAGGGGAAAATTTTACTCTTTTAGGAAGGATGCCTCAAATATGAGTCTAACCTACAATTTTAGGCTTTTTGCAAAGAATACTCCATGCATGACAATCTCTTGAGCAAAATTCACAAGGTGCTTCTATAAATATGCTGCCTGCACATTTGGTTCCATAATTGGAAATATATCAATATTATTTTCTCTCTGTCACACACCCACAGATCTGTTAAAAGGGTATCATGTTGCTTACCTTTTCAGATTGGAAATTTTAGACACAGTTCAACATACAACATTTAGTGGAATGTGTGGCCCACCTACCCTTGCTTAACTCCAAGTCAGCTTTCACCACAACAACACTGGCTTGGCCACAGAAACTCCTCCCTTATCCTACAACCTTCCCTAGCTCAGAACAGTTTTCCTCTTCTAGTATTTAGTCCACATACTTTCCCAAATGCATTCAATTTGTTTCCAATCCCAACTATAGTAATCTTGCATCATATAGGTTTAGTGTGGAACAGTCCAAAGTGCAAAGTCTGAAACTTCCAATGAACTACTGCTAGCTGGAGTTGTTTACTAAGCTGTAACAGTGATCAGGGAGGTCTTTTTATACAATTCCTTCGAAGAAGGATAGATCTAAAGGTATCATTCATGTAGCCCTAATGACATCATTCATGAATTTCCAATCTCCCCATTTGCAGATTATTTCAGTCAGTGCAACCAGCAACAAAATTGTGACCATGAGCAGTATATATTTTAGCTGGAAATTTAACAGTTCTCTTAAGCCAGTGGTTCTCAACTTGTGGGTCCTCAGGTGTTTTGACCCACAACTCCCTGAAATCCCAGCCAATTTACCACCTGTTAGTAGTTGAAGGCCAAAACATCTGTCTTAAGCAAGAGATTTTAGGGGGGATGAAATCATGGAACCCTTTGAGATGATATTGCATGACACCTCCCATCAAATCTACCCAGATGTTATGCATTTTGGTCCAGCATCTCAATGGCAATATGATTCTCATCTTACTTTAATGAAATAAGCAACACAAAGCATTTATTCCATCATTTTCCTCCTCAGAAACCATAATATTGCTTTATTACTTCTATAGCATTTTTAAAAATCTGGTTTTCACTATGAGACTGCAAAGTTCAACAGCATCCTTTGGACCCACAGCATCCTGATGGAGTTTTCATAGTGCCTTTGGCCTCCATCAGCTCCACAAATTTAAATGGGTCTTCAATCTTCTGCTGTTAAAAAATGAAACAGTGTTAAGGGGGGAAGACAGTGGTGAGATTTCCTACAGAGCATAACATTAGTCGGAAAGGATATGAGACTAGGAAGAAAAATACAACTCCATTTGTTGTAATGTTACTTGTAGCTCAATGGCGAATGGTGGATCTAGAATCCTAGGAACCTGCTATTCATGGAAAATTGTGCATTTATTTCATAGAATAATAGAGTTGCAAGAGACCTCATGGGCCATCTAGCCCAACCTCCGCCATGCAGGAAAAGCACAATCAAAGTACCCGACAGGTGTAAGTCTGCTGTTCTTCAAAAAGAAAGAAAATAACTTCACATGAAGCTTGTAAAGTAGGTTACACAGAATAATTATTCCAGTAAGATTCAGAGCTCAAAGATAGTACCAAAAAAACACACACAACTTTTTATTATGGTCCAAAGACCCTTATTGCACCATTGGTGTACAAGGTATTCAGGTAGTACCTGAAGACAAAACTTCCAGGTTGCATGGTAACATTGTTGTCCTTTTTTGGGTACAGCAAAGGACAACCACAAGTAATGCTGTAGCCACTGACTCAACTGGACTCAAGTTGAAAGATGGTCCAGCTATTGACATCCTCAGATGTGAAGAAAAAGCCTTAAGTTGCACCACACGTATTATAGGAACATGGAATGGTAAACACATGAATCAGGAGAAGTTAGACATAAAAATAAATCATATATACATTGGGCTGAGCAAGATAAAGTGGAAACATATAAGACATCATGACAACTACAGGAAATTACAATCCAAAAGAAATGTGGTTGCATTAATATTGAGGAATGATGTAGCAAAATCAGTCAAAGGATATAATGTAAAGCCTGACCAAATAATATAAATAACACTTCAGGGAAAACCCATCAATTTAGCCATAATCCGGGTTTATGATGCAACTACAAGGGAAGAAAATGTAAAAAAAAAAAACAAAACAAACAAAACCTGTGCTCCTGTCTATTAGGAAACCAATCACACACGTTAAAATAAGACTTCTTGTTAAGCATAGATGGTTGGGATGCAAAAGTAAAAGAGCAAAATCAGATTTGAGGCCAAGAGGTATTTCATTGCAAACACATCCCTCAAGGAGCCCCCGGTGGCACAGTGGGTTAAAGCACTGAGCTGCTGAGCTTGTTGATCAAAAGGTCACAGGTTCGATTCCGGGGAGCGGCGTGAGCTTCCGCTGTCAGCCCTAGCTTCTGCCAACCTAGCAGTTCGAAAACATGCAAATGTGAGTAGATCAATAGGTACCGCTCCGGCGGGAAGGTAACGGCGCTCCATGCGGTCATGCCGGCCACATGACCTTGGAGGTGTCTACGGACAACGCCGGCTCTTCGGCTTAGAAATGGAGATGAGCACCAACTCCCAGAGTCAGACATGACTGGACTTCATGTCAGGGGACTACCTACCTTACTACATCCCTCAAGTGACCAAAGAGCCAGGTGCATATGTGAATATCTCCTGATGATCAATATGGAAACTAAACAGACCACATAATTGGAAGCAAAAGATGGAGAAGCTCCACTCTCTCTGCAAAAGCAAGACCTGAGAAGAGTCGTTGATAAAAGGGTGACTAGGCGGTCTCTTATTCAAAGGTCACTATATGTCAGAATTACCTTGACAGCTAATTTGAGAATTATTCCATTATAATCCATAATATTGATCCATAATATTCAGTCCTAGAGCGTGTTTATATACCATGTATACAGTCAGTGCTTGCCTCCTCAAACTTCTACTACATGATTTATTTTTATTTTTATTACCATTACCATTGTTTCCACTAGGCTGAAATTATTTTTACTTTCTCTTGTTAGCATTTATCCCAGGCATGGGCAAACTTGGGCCCTCCAGGTGTTTTGGACTTCAAGGCAATTATGGGAGTTGAAGTCCCAAACACCTAGAGGGCTGAAGTTTGCCCATGCCTAATTTATCCTGACTATTAAAGAGCATCAGAATCACCAACAAATCATGAAATGGCACAACAGGGAAATAATAGATGTCCATTAGATGGTGCTGTTGTGTATTTTAAAACTGTTGAGGGGTAGAACTACTCCCATATCATGTTAAACTGAGAATCATATCAAAGTCACTTCTACAGGATAGGAGGAGAAGTCTGAGCAAATTCTGATCAGAATTACATTAGATTGGAAAAGGCTAAAAAAATCCAACTACACAGAGGATCAGGAGGCAAAGAGGGCTGGTTGGGTATAAAATATTTTGTAAAAAGGAGCTTCACTGTCATTACTTGTTTACTGAAGTATCCCTATACGTGTTAGTACCACCATGTTTATTACGCTTGTCCCAATAGGTAGTCATCAAAAATGTGGTCAGCAAGTACCCTCATACAGGTTTGAAGGTTTGGCCAGTGAAGCTTTGTTGCTAATAGGGACTGGGAGTAGTAGTCCAGATGGGCTCTGAGCACATGTCATCCTTGCTAGCACTGCCATCCTTACTACACCAGTCCTATCCCAATATATATTGGGATCTGGATCTGGCAATTCACATCACTAATAATAACACTATGTAACAAAATTTGAAATAAATTCTGTTCCTGGTTTGAAAGTGTTATTTTCTGTTTAAGTGTGTGGTAACCCAAATGTGCCATTTTAAACATTTCATATGTCAATTTTAACCTTTTGTGCAGATCACAAATAACATTTTTTTTTGCAGTTTAATAGACCTTTCCCCCATGTTTTCATGATAGAACCAATTAGGAAATGACATTCATAATCCAAAAACAAAAATCATGTTGCATAGTGCAATTGTAATTTAACATGCTCTACAAAGACCAACTATCACCTCCACCATAATCAGCTAAATCACATCAGGTGCTATGGGTTCTGGCATTTGCCCAAGTGCACTGACACTGACAGCAATTTGGAAGACTGCATAATTTAGACTTGGAAATTAGCCTGGCAAATGGGTTAAGACACAAGCCCCAGTACATTGCTGATTCAGTAAGAGTTTAAAAGCACACAGCTATACTAGAATTAAGCAAAACAATCAAGATTGAGAGCTGGAATAATGTATGATCCAAATCGTGACTTTGTTTCAGCCATGGCAATGTACTATGATGTAGGTTAATTATTGAAATGGGACTCTCAGAATCCCCCAGCCATCCTATTTCACCCAATAGTTAACAAAGCCACTTTTCACAGACACAAGCAGGAGGGCATTTATTGAGAAAATTGAATAATGTCTTGTGTGCTCCCATAAGCAGCAATACTATTCAAGGCAGCCCACTTTTGCCCTGTCCCACAGCTCCAGAAGCATTTCTAAATTTCTGTAGATCCTCTCAGGAACTTTAACTAGACCCCACCCTTTCCCAAGGTTACCATCAGCAGACTGAAAGGAGTTTCTGGTTATGAATCCATGTCATTTCTAACTTGTGGTGACCCTAAGAAGAACCTATCGTGGGCTTTTCCTGGCAAGAAGGATTCAGAGGGAAGCTGCCATTGCCTTCCTCTGAGGGTGACAAGGTTGGCTTGCCTAAGATTGGCCAGTGGGTTTCCATGGCTAAGGGGCGATACCAACTCTGGCCTTTAGAGCCATAGCTCAATGCTCAAGCCACTATGCCAGGTTGCCTCCCTGAAATGAGCTAATCCTACTTAATCATCTGCATAGTGGTTCATCAACCATGCAAAGAGCAAAAAGATGGAGCCATTAAGCTCAGTTATAAAGAATGCTGCTAGTCCAGCCACTTTGTTTTCTACTCTTGTATAAAGTAGAAAACAAGAAGTTTTCTACTTCTTGTATAAAGGACTGCTTGAACAGTATAGCCTTAGTACCATGCTAGCTTCAGGTGTGCACTTACAGTAGATCAAGTCAGTTGCCATTTTGCTATCTACTAATCTAATGTGGAACGCACTGCTGCAATTCATATAGCACTATGTAACACTATGTAGGAGCCCCCAGTGGCACAGCAGGTTAAACCGCGGAGCTGCTGAACTTGCTGATTGAAAAGTTGGTGGTTCGAATCCAGGGAGTGGGGTGAGCTCCCGCTGTTAGCCCCAGCTTCTGCCAATCTAGCAGTTTGAAAACATGCAAATGTGAGTCAATCAATAGGTACCACTTTGGTGGGAAGGTAACGGTGCTCCATGCAGTCATGCTGCCCACATGACCTTGGAGGCATCTAGGGACAACACCGGCTTTTTGCCTAAGAGATGGAGATGAACACCACCCCTCAGAGTTGGACATGACTAAACTTAATGTCAAGGGGAAACCTTTACCTTTTTTAATGTAACACTATTTTTGTTACTGGGTTATAAATATCATTTCCTAATTGGTTCTATCATAAAAACATGGGGAAAGTTTATTAACTGCAAAAACTTTGTTTTTGTTTGATATCATGAAGCACATTTTGCTATGGTTTTTCAATGAATATCTGATAAGAGTCTCAACCAATTCAACACAGTTTGTGGTAGCCACGAAAACAAAGTTTCTGGAGTATAACAGCTTCTTTTAAAATAAGTACCGCACAATTAAATAGGAAATAATACTTTTAAACCAGTAACAGAATTTTTTTCAAATTTTGTTATATAGTGTAATGTTTGATTGCTCTTTTAATCAAAAGATATTAAGTTGTGATTCCAGAATAAACTGATTATGCATGTCACTCCTGAGAGAGTGACCGAGAGAGAGAAATAAAGTGTCCTTGACATTTAATTCAAGTCCTGCTGCAATTTCAGCTATCTGAAAACTAAAAACAAGGTTAGAAAACTTGGTTAGAAAAATAAAAAAAACTATATAACTACAAGGCCAAACACAACAAGCCAAGGAACAGAATTACAACCGTTGCAATAGTTTTTGGCATTTGAGGACTTCTGAGAGAATTTTCATTTGTAATAAAACATATTTGTGCAGAAAGGCATTTTTTTAGTTTTACAAATTATACTTTTATGGGTGTGAATCAAAGTCCCTAAATATGAAATCATTGAAAAGTGTGTGAAAGCTCTCACCATACAGGAAGAGGTTTTAAAAATTCTCTTTGCAAGAACAAAAAAAGGCAGAGTTATGTCCTTAGCCTTTTCCTTTCTGAGTCATTACCTCATAGAGAGGAACATCACTGTATTAACATGGGCAGGTGCCAAACTCTGAGCCTGGCAGTTTTTCCTATCTCCTCCATTATCAATTTTTTTTTGTAGCAAGCAGATACAGAGGAGAACCATCCATTCACCAAAAGCGCCTAGTCCTGATTCTCTTATGAAAGGTACCACTATGTTGTTCTTGCATTTTGCAGTCTTACTGATTTCCTGACCTCAATGAGACAAGCTAAAGATTGAACATGAGGATAAAGAACAAAAATCAACAATTCTGAAGTTGCTTTATACAACACAAATTTTGGGCCACTGAACTCAGACCTGTTTGCACTGAAAACATTTCTTCAGAGTCTCCAAAAGAACTTGAAGAAGAGAAAGAGTTAATCCAACTTTACTGTAAACCTCTCCTTGGGCTCTGAGGCTTATCTTAGAAATACTGCTTATGACCCTGGCTTCTTCTCTCCTCTCTATCGCACACCATTAGGCACAATGTTATCCTCTCTAGGACACACAGCTGTTTGCTTTCATCAGGGGAATCCAGAGTAGGGAATACACTTTTGTAGATAAACCAGTTTCAAAACAGGGTCACGGCTGAAGGGTTAAGATCAAGATCCAGTTAAGTTTGCTAGACGTGCAGAAAAGGCCCTTGAGAACCCAAAGCATTAAGGCTTTGAATTTGTCATTATACCATGTTACAGAGTTCCTCTTTTTTCATGCACATGTACTTTCTGCACATGTATCAATTCCTGCAATGGCTTTCCAGATTAATCTAAAGCTTATCCACATGTCACTCTGTCATCATAAAGAAGCTATCCATGTGATCATTTCAAAGATGAAATACTTTCACGTGGTTGAGTCCCCCCAGGGAGATAGGGCGGAATATAAACAAATTATTATTATTATTATTATTGTTATTATTATTATTATTATTATTATTATTATTATTATTATTCTGCTGCTGCTGCTGCTGCTGATGCTGCTGCCACTGCTGCTTTGGATATTCTGGATGATGTAGTCCAAAGAAGCAATTCTTCCAAGCTGCATGTTCTTGGAAAGGCTAGTTTGAGATGCAATATCGTTGCTACAGACTCTAACTAACCTTTTGTTTCCCAGGATGGCATCCTTTTGGACTAGGTTGCTTCTTCTCCAATGGTTGGATCAGGAACTTTGCAGAAAATCTGGAGTTCTGCAGAATAGCTGCTGTCTCCTCATCAACATTCACAATTTCTCCTTGCTTAAGGAAGGAGAAAGAAAGGAAATGCACAGAAGAAGTTACTGGCTATTCATAATGAGATCAGGTGGATATAAACAGGCATAAGCAAACTTTCTGATACAGGAGCCACACTGTATTTTAAAATTTGACAGATGGGCTGGGCCAGTGGCAGATTTTGGGAAATGTGGTGTAGACAGGGGGGAAACTGCAGGTAGAAATAATAAATCAATATATCACTGTATCAACTTTGCTTCTCCTCTGATCTAGTATCTGTTTTAAATGACAATCAAACCATGGCGATCACCCACATAATATCAAATTTGGCTCTGGATAAGTCTAATATAACTTGTATTAATCTTATGAGATAAGAACAATGACCTGTAAGATCTAACTTTAATGTATAGAATGAGGCATATTTGACATTAATATAAGTCTAGCCAATACAGTGGGCTCGCTGGTGGTGCAGAGGGTTAAACCACTGAGCTGCAGAACTTGCTGACCGAAAGGTTGGTGTTTGGAATCCAGGGAGCAGGGTGAGCTCCTACTGTTAGCCACAGCTTTTGCCAACCTAGCAGTTCAAAAACATTCAAATGTGAGTAGATCAATAGGTACTGCTTCTGTGGGAAAAATAACGGCACTCCATGCAGTCATGCTGGCCCCATGACCTTGGAGGTGTCTATAGACAATACTGGCTCTTCAGCTTAGAAATGGGGATGAGCATCACCCCCCAGAGATGGACACAGGTAGACTTAATGTCAGTGGAAACCTTTATCTTTACCTTAGCCAATACAGTAACTTGTTACCACCACCAAGCTACAGCAGATTTACCCACGAGCTCTTTAAACATTAAAGGAGTATGACTATAGTGAAAGGCTGCACTTTTGCTTTCTTCAGATTCACTTCTCTTGATGGTAATCATGACAAAGCCCTAAGTCCAGACCTGTACCTTGAACCTGTAGTTGACATCAAACTCTAGTTCCTTTTCATGTCCAGTGATTCCTCCTTTGTAAATAACCTCACACCGTTGTGCCGTGGTATCCTTGGGGATCTTGAAGAGGCGGAAAGTCACAGAAACAAACTGGCAGTTGCCTATTAATGAGAACATAGGGGCTTGCATCATAACTACAGTCAGAGATAAGGCAGTACGATTCACATTTTAGATGTGGGCTATAGAGGTACCAAAGAGGAAAGCAAGATAGGCAGTTTCCAGGATCTCTCATCAAGTACAGCACTGATTTGTGTTTTATGAATTAAGATTGTTACTGGAGAAAGGAAGGGTAGTTTGAAGCTGATGCAATGTTGTAAAACAGCTTTCCGAAACTGGTGCTCTCCTGATGTCTTGAATTAAAACTTCCATCATCTCTGCCCGTCATACAATGTCCCATTGCACTCAATACAAGACAGAATGGCCTGTTTGACATCACAGTTGTCTGGACTCATTTAGACCGGATTTGCTTGTTATTCTTTAAGCAGAAAGCAAGAGACTGAATTTAACTACATGGCACGTGCCTGAAAAAGAACACTGTGAAGCTTGAAGATAAAGAGAAGATGGAATGTCATTTACTATTTACCCAAGCAATAAAAGCTTACATTGGGTTGCAGTGAGTTTTCTGGGCTGTATGGCCATGTTCCAGAAGCATTCTCTCGATGTTTCGCCCACATCTATGGCAGGCATCCTCAGAGGTTGTGAGGTCTGTTGGAAACTAGTCAAGTGAGATTTATATATCTGGGAAATTTCATCGATGGGGTTCAGAATGCTCTTTAATTCTAGGTGAACTATAAAACTCAGCAACTGCAACTCCCAAAAGTCAATGTTTATTTTCCCCAAACTCCACCAGTGTTCAAATTTTGGCATACTGAGCATTCGTGTCAAGTTTGGTCCAAATCCATAATTGTTTGAGTCCATGGTGCTCTCTGGATGTAGGTGAACTACAACTCCAAAACTCAAGGTCAATGCCCACCAAAGCCTTCCAGTATTTTTTGTTGGTCATGGGAGTTCTGTGTGCCAAGTTTGGTTCAATTCCATCTTTGGTAGAGTTCAGAATGCTCTTTGATTGTAGGCAAACTTTAAATCCCAGCAACGACATCTCCCAAATGACAAAATTAACCCCACCCCCCAACCCACCAGTATACAAATTTGGGCGTATTGGGTATTTGTACTAAATTTGGACCAGTGAATGATATTTATATTACAATTCATAACTGTAGCAAAATTACAATTATGAAGTAGCAACAAAAATAATTTTATGGTTGAGGATCACGACAACATGAGGAACTGTATTAAGACATCACAGCATTAGAGAGGTTGAGAACCACTGGTCTAGTATCTCCTGGAAGGTCACAATTTTCCATCCCATTACAGTGTTGCATGTCAGACTAATGAACCCTGAATGCAAAAATAGTACCATAATTTGCCTGGCAGACAAAAATAAAGATAGATAGAAAGACATATAGACAAATAAATAAGAGTTACTGGACACTCATACACCATAAGTATATGGATATGTCTTACATAGTCCAAGGACCAAATGGTGCAGGTGTAGGATGATGTATGCTATGAGAATGACACCACAGGCTGACAGGGCAGGCTAGCTATGCATGATAAGCACCATTCTTACCCACAATACTTTCCAGTTCCTTGTTTTCAAGGGTTATCCGGGAGGCAGTCACCAACCGAGGTGTCTGGAATCCAACTTCCTTGGCAATTTTGTAGAGATCCTTCCACCATAAGGCTCCTGCTAGGCATTCACCTAAAGGTAACACAAGGGCAAAAAGATAATAAAGTGGGCGTTTCCAAATGAGCATGCAAAAATATGTACCTAGGAAAGTAAACTGTACAGAAGAGAATTATGCAGTTCTCCAGACGATGCTGAACTATCACTTTGATCCTTAGGCATTGCTGAAGAATGTTAAGAGTTACAGTTCAACAACGGCCCCTTCCACACAGTTGAATAAAACCCCACATTATCTGCTTTGAATTGGAATATATGGCAGTGTAGACTCAGATAACACAGTTCAAAGCAGATCTTGTGGGATTTTCTGCCTTGATATTCTAGGATATAGGGCTGTGTGGAAAGGCCCAGCATCTAGAGAACTGCCTGATTCTCATCCCTGGTACAGGAGGAGAACCAAGTCCTATCCACCTCCAACATTTTCTAAGGACTACACATGACTTAAAAGCAAGAAGGAATTTACAGTCCTTTGTTGTTTTATCTGATGCTATAGCTTTAGAAAAACTGAAGGTTTCCAAACATAAATATGCATGATTCAAGGATAACAATATGTAAGTACATTTTCCCCGCCATACCTCCCACAAAAGAAGTGTCAAACTGTAGAACAACTTCCCTACATTCTCATACTTGAGGAACATAGGATGCCTGGGAGGAAGGAACATTTACATGAAATTCTAAGCACAGATAGGATACTGAGGCAGTTTCCCTACACATAGGTGTGAGTGACAGGCTCCTTCACCCAGGTTGGCCCAAAACTTCACCCTTGGAGATCTTGTAGCTCACCCTGCCCTTGTTCCCCAATTATTTTCCTTGCAAGATAATGTTTCTGAGCTTCAGATGACTTCCTAAATGTAGGCCTGCAATTGGTTTGTTATGTGTTTTTTTTTCCTTTTGGTATATGTAGCCTGACACCAATTTTTTGTTGTTGTTTTAAACCCATCTCTGGGTTTAAAGAATAATATAATATATTGCATGCTAATAATATAGTATAGTGTGTGTGTGTGTGTATCCCCAAAGGGGACTCAGAGTGGCTTACAATATATATATATATATATATATACATACAATATATTATATTATTAGCAGTTGCTGCTCAGGATGCAAGAATAGCTTTCAACCAGACCTTCAGGTCACAGGGCAAAACTTATCTATCCAAACATATCTCTCCCTATGAACCTTCTAGGAATTTGAGATCATCTGAGGAGGCTCTGCTCTTGATCCCGCCTGCCTCACAGGCGCGTTTGGCCGGGATGAGAGTCAGGGCCTTCTCAGTGGTGGCCCCTCGGCTGTGGAACTCCCTTCCCAGGGATATTAGATCAGCCCCCTCCCTCCTGACCTTTTGAAAATGAGTGAAAACCTGGCTCTTTGAGCAAGCGTTTGGAGCTGCAGCATGGCCAGTTAATACGAAATTGTAATACGAACGTGGAACGGTTAAGACTATGTAAACAGATGAAGAATTTGGATTAGTAGATACTTTTTTTTATTGATTTTTATAGTTTTATAGTTTTTTATGGATTTTATATGGATTTATGATGTGTTTCAATTGGTTCTATTGATATATGTATTTCTATATGGCATCTAACTGGTGCCAAACTGTATGCTGTCCTGAGTTGCCTTTGGGCTGAAATGGACGGGATAAAAATGTCGTAAATAAATAATAAATAAATAAATAAAACTACAACAAGGAAGTCCATAGTCCTCCCTAAACTCTTGTTAGAGGATTCTGGTGTTGAGGTTTCTGCAGGATGTACCCCAAGAAAAAGAGTCCTATCTCCATTCAGAAGGCCACTTCCAAAAGGCCCTTGTTTCTCTGAGGCTTAAATGTTGAAGACAAAGGATGAGGTCCAGACTCCCAAGTGAATGGGAGTCATCATGCCCTGCTTGTCCCCTGGCTCTCAGGTGCCCCTGTCTGAGTGTGAAGCTTTATTAGAAGATATCAGGTAATGAGTTCGATAAATTCGAGCAATGCATTGCCTTGGAGGGGGAAAAAGGACAAAGCCTGAGTTTGATTAGAAATAGGGTTTGGTGGTGGTTGAATTTGCTCACCCCACAAGACTCTGTGTTTCCTGATGTCCTCTGGCAAGTCACAGCTGGCATACACATCACTGAAATACATCTCCCCACCTTCCTGAAAAGGAGATATCAACAGACAGTAATAAACAACTTAAAAGTCATCACAATCTGATGGGCACGACAGGGTACAGTAGAGGGGGAGAAAAAGAGACTGCAGCATTATGAAGGGGATGTTTTAGCTAGCACTGCACTGCCAGCCCTAGCTGCAGTTCATTGGCTGTGAAATCATCTACCAACAGATGTGTTGTATCTTCAAAGCAAAACCCAGATACTCTAATTAGTCAAGGCCTCTGGAAATAATCCAGGTTTCCTCATTGTAAGAAAGCCAACCATACTCCTCCTTTTGTTTAAAAAAGACTAGGAGCAGCTTTGGGATCCAAGAAGGTTGTAGCCAACATCCTACATATGAATCCAGAGTCTGGAAAAGCTACCTTCACGTTGTGCTTACTCTGTTAAATTCTGTATATAGATCAGGATCTGTTTAGAAATCGTCTGTTTAGACAGATGGCGCATTCAACATTAATCGAACATTTTCCTTGCTTGTGTTTGTGCAATGCTGCATTTGGTGGTCCCTATATAGACTTGTCCACAGCTGCATGGACTTGTCCACAGCTTCCACGACAGGAAGCAGCCAGGCTTTGAAGCTGCAAGGCCATTTAATGGTAATCAAGGTGATCATTTGCAACATTTGTACTTGCCTCAGACAAAAAAGAGTTCTTTCTCTTATCCTGGACATTTCACAGATATATAAACCCCATTTTCCTAGTTTCCAACAGACCTCACAACCTCTGAGGATGCCTGCCATAGATGTGGGTGAAACATCAGGAGAGAATGCTTCTGGAACATGACCATACAGCCTGGAAAACTCACAGCAACCCAGTGATTCTGGCCATGAAAGCCTCTGACAAAACAAATTACACTTTACCTTTAACATCTGATAGGCTTCATGCAGGACAGCTTGTTTATCAGGGGAAAGATTAACCACACAATTGGAGCTAAACAGGAAAGAGGAAAACCTTATTTATATACCTTGAAAAAGGAAAGCAATAGGTAAACATCATAGCGATATGCATGAAGGAAGGTGATTTAAGAACAAAGCAATGTACATCTCCGGGTTCTGCATAAACTCTTATAGTAGGCCATTAGCCAAAATAATTAAATTGGGACACATCTCAACTAAAAAAAAGTGAGATCATGAAATCAGAGTTGGAAGAGACCACAAAGGCCATTTAGACCAGCCATGCAAAAAGACATACTCTAAGCACTCTTGAGGGAAAGACATACAGCCTTTGTTTAAAAACCTAAAGAAAAGGAGACTCTTCTATGCTCCAAGGCAGCATATTCTAGGCAGTTAGACCTGTTCGATAGTGGAATATGCTGCCTTGGAGTCAAATTGCAGGAATTTGAATCCATTGCTCCATGTCTCTGCAAAACAGAAGTTTGTCCCTTCCTCAATATGACATCCTGAACATCTTTAAATGCCCATATAGAAAAGCTTCCATATTCTCTCAATCAGATATTGTTAAGCTATGATTCCTATTAGCTCTATCCAACATAGTTATTGGGGAGGGACAATTGGAAAATGCAGTCTAACATCATGTGGAGGGCCACACATTAACAATTCCTGCTTTAAATATTTCTAATCCAACACTTTTACAAAGTAGAAATATGTGCCTACTGTAGTTTAACAGTTTGCCTGTCCAATCTGAATAGTGACAAACCTTTCTATATCAAACCTGTAATTTTATTTATTTGTTTGTTTATTATTCAAACTTATATGCCGCCACTCCTCTAGGGCTCAGAGAGCCTTACAAGAAACAAACTCGAATCTAACACAATTTAATTAAGACGAGTGGGATGGTGGTGGTTTATTTTTAGGAGGGACTCAGAGGGAGAGGAGGGAGCAATGCTTAATATTTTAAAGACCAATGTTTCTACAGCTCCCCAGGCAGGGATATGAGTGAAGCCTCCCACAAGGATGGTAAAATATCAAAACATCTGGGTGTCCCCTGGGCAATGTCCTTGCAGATGGCCAATTCTCTCACACCAGAAGTGACTTGCAATAAATGTAATAATAGCAATAATAAATAGAGTAGAATAATAAATGTAATAATAATAATAAATAGTAAAATAATGTAAATGTAATAATAATAAATAGATTAAAATAATGAATGTAATAATAACAACAATAGGTAGAGATAAATAGTGAAAGTAATAATAATAATAATAGAGTAAAATACTAAATATAATAAAAATAATAATAAAAGAGTAAAATAATTTAAATGTAATAATAATAATAACAATAATAACAACAACAGAGTAAAATAATAAATAACTTTGACTCGAGTATAAACTGAGGGGGCTTTTTCAGCCTAAAAAAGGACTGAAAACTTGGCTTATACTCAAGTATATACGGTAATCTGTCCTTGTGCCCATAAAGCTACCCCTGACATCTCTCCCCAGCCCAGTGCTAACATTACCCAGTCTTTGCTTTACAATGTGCATTCTCATGAACTCCATTCCAAAATAACAACAGACTCAATCCCTAGTTATTCATTTACAGTTTACTGCAGCCTGAGGTTTGAGTTGAGAAAAAAAAACTGATATTTGGGAACTATGGAAATATGAAAAGCATGTGGAACAGCAACACAGGATCTAACGTCACAACCAGCGCCTCAAAGAAAACATCAGTATCAAACCTCAATATCTGGTCTTGTAGAAGAAAAGTCTGGAAGGTGTACCTACATTACAAGGTTATAACTTTCGCCCTTCAAGCCTGCTTCGCTCAGTTTTTCTATGTAACCATGAATAAAGTTAACATTGGGTTTCTTGTAGCCAAATTTGTTCATGTGATAATCAATGTGTTTCTTCGCTACTTCTACCTGAAGAATGGAAACAAAACAAAAACACATGGTTAAGGGCTGGAGAAGAGTTTAAGTTCTGCTTTTTTCCTTTTTGCAAAGCCTGTAAAGTTACATTTAGCAAGGAACCATTTTTCAACATCTGCATCCACATGTGCACATGTAAATCAATTATTCAGCCATAAAAAAGGTTCCAATTGACATTAAGTCTAGTTGAGTCCAACTCTGGGGGTTGGTGCTCATCTCCATTTCTGAGTCGAGAGCCGGTGTTGTCCATAAATGCCTCCAAGGTCATGTGGCCAGCATGACTGGATGGAGTACTGTTACCTTCCTGCTGGAGCAGTATCTATTGATCTACTCACATTTATATGTTTGCCAGGTTGGCAGAAGCTCGGCCTAACAGTGGGAGCTCACACTCCCCAGATTCATACTGCATATCTTTCAATCAGCAAGTTCATCGGCTCAGCAGTTTAACTCGCTGCGCCACTGGGGTTCCTGGAGCCCACTGGAGCCCCCGGTGGCACAGTGGGTTAAAGCCCTGTGCTGGCAGGACTGAAGAACGACAGGTTGCAGGTTCAAATCCGGGGAGAAGCGGTTGAGCTCCCTCTATCAGCTCCAGCTCCTCATGCGGGGACATGAGAGAAGCCTCCCACAAGGATGATAGAACATCAAAAATCATCCGGGCGTCCCCTGGGCAACGTCCTTGCAGACAGCCAATTCTCTCACAACAGGATGCTCCTGACACAACAAAAAAACAAAAACAAAAAAACTGGGTTTCCTGAAAAGCCTGAAATCCTCCTTTATTTCTGTTAATCTGTAACATTTTAAAATATATATGTACACCTATTTAGCAGTTTAGTATTTCTTGCTCCAATACTACATGTATACATTTCAACTATTTGGTTTCATATGGATTTAATTATCTAATAACTTTTCCACATATTTATTTGAATGCTATGATTTAATAGACTGTAATAGAATGCACAGATGGTTTTTTTGCATTTATGCTACCATTTAGCAGTTCAATTATATAAGTTGTGCATTCATTCGAACATCTGGATTGTTGCTTTGCAAAACAAGAATAAAAAATATTTCAGTAAAAGAAAAACTATATATGCTGAAAAGGCATATGGAAATTATAAAAGTTTCATATACTTAGGTAATTTCCATTTCACAGACAGAAGAAGTATAATATGGGACAGGGAAGGAAACAGGTCTACTGATTACTTGAGATGCTGAAGAAAGAGCTGGCATGGAAAACATTGAATATGCCAGAGAGGAATCTAAATACACAGGCATCAACAATGTCACTTGCCAGCTGACTAAGAACTAGCATCCTTTACAACTAGGATTTTGTGTGTGTGTGTCAGAAATTACTTCAGAAACTGCAAGTCGCTTCTGTTGTGAGAGAATTGGCTGTCTGCAGAGACGTTGCCCAAGGAATGCCCGAATGTGTTATCATCCTGTGGGAGACTTCTCTCATGTCCCTGCACAGGAAGCTGGAGCTGACAGACAGGAGCTCACCCTGTCTCGTGGATTTGAGCAGTCAGCAGTTCAGCCGGCACAAAGGTTTAACCCATTATGCCACCACGGCTCCTACATCTATGTGAGGAAAGCAGCAACAAAAACCATTTAAATAACAATAAAACAGGATATGATTTCTACTCTTATCAAAACACTGAGAGAATGAGCAAGATCCAGCTCTCCATGTTATGCAAGCACTTGGCAGTCTTTCATTTACAGAAAGTTTTAAGGGAAAAACAAAAAAAGTAGATGGCATGTCTGCTGCTTCTGTCCTTCTCCAAAGCTCTCTGCAAGACACTGCCTTCCTTCGGTTCTTTGTACTTGCCAGACAGCTAAAAGGAAAGGCAGACTTTTCTGATTTGCAGAAAACTTTAGAGACAGACAAATCCAACATTCATTCTTCCCAGTTTTGTGTTCTTTTACAACACTGGTTCCCAACCTTTTTTTGACCAGGGACTACTTAACTTTCCAAGATTAGTATCAAAAGGGTTATGAATCAGTTTTTGGTCAACTTTAGATTTGGTTTGGTTATTTGGTGTGCTGATTCAGAAAACTGTATTGGATAGACCACATCAGCTCTAGTTTCTGATATAGAACACATGCCAGTAGTTGCCATTTGCTCAACCACAGAAAACCACATTTAATACTCTAGAGCTGATGTGGTAGTATTAATCTTTCGTAGGTAGTCAACCTCTCCCCCTCCCCGACATCCCCATTGCCTCAGCCCTATAAGAGGGTTTTGTGAACAGTCGCTCTCACTGCCATGTGGTTTCGAGGCAACGATGTAGTAATGCTGAGGCTGTGGACCATATTTTCATTCTTGCAGGCCACTAGTGGTCCACGGACCACAGGTTGGGAACCACTGTTCTACAAGGTTTTCTAGAATTCTAGAGAGTTTTGTCACTTCCTTCAACTCAGTAATAGGCGAAGGACCATTTCTAATACTTCATAAATAACCGGAGCAATGTCTGAAATTTCTGCTCTTCTCCAAAGATTTGTGCAATCTCTTCCTTGCTATTGTTGTGTGCCTTCAAGGAGTTTTTCACTTATAGTGGTGCTAAGATGAACCCATCACAGGGTTGTCTGGGGCAGAGATTGTGTGAGAGTGTTACCATCTACACTGTCATATAATGCAGTTTGAAACTGTGTTATATGGTTAGTGTAGACTCTTATGATGTAGTTCAATCAAAGCCGTAAAGTGGATTATATGGCAGTGTAGATGGAGCCTGTGAGTTTCCATGACTGAGCAGGGGTTCAGATTCTGATCTCCAGAGCCATCATCCAATGCTCAAACCACTATACACATTGGCTCCACACCCTCCATACTAGCTAGAACAGTGTTTCTCAACCTTCCTTATGCCGAGACCCCTTAATACAGTTCCTCATGTTGTGGTGACCCCCAACTATAACATTATGTTTGCTGCTCCATTACATTTGGCCCAGCCCAGTTTTATTGTGTTTGGTGTATTGTTTTATTGCTCTGTTGTTTTTGATATTGCTTTAATTGTTTGATTTGCTTTGTGTATTTGTTTTGCTATGTTTTTGAGGCCTTGGCCTTTGTAAGCCGCATCGAGTCCTTCGGGAGAAGCTAGCGGGGTACAAATAAAGTTAATAATAATAATAATAATAACTGTAATTTTGCTACTGTCATGAATAGTAATGTAAATATCTGATATGCAGGATGTATTTTCATTCACTGGACCAAATACAGTATTCCCAAATTTGAATACTGATTGGGTTGGGGTCGATTGATTTGAGAGTTGTAGTAACTAGGATTTAGTTCATCTACAATCAAAACATTCTTAATTCCACTAATGATGGAATTGAACCAAACTTGGCACACAGAACTCCCATGACCAACAGAAAATACTGGAAGGGTTTGGTGGGCACTGACCTTGAGTTTTGAAGTTGTAGTTTACCTACAACCAGAGAGCACTGTGGAATTAAACAATGATGAATCTGGTCCAAACTTGGCACAAATACTCAATATGGTGGAGTTTGAGGAAACCAGACATTTACATTTGGGAGTTGTAGTTGCTGGGATTTATAGTTCACCTATAATCAAAGAGCATTCTGAACCCCACCAACGATAGAACTGGGGCAAACTTTCCACACAGAACCCCCATAACCAACAGAAAATATTGTGTTTTCTGATGTTCCTGGGTGACCCCTTTGACACCTCCTCATGACCCTCCCAGGGGTCCCGACCTCCAGGTTGAAAAATGCTGAGCTAGAAGATTTAAAATCTATTCAATAAATAGACAGTAGTGGAAGATAACAGAAATAGCAGGCATCTATTCCTCTTTTTCTTGTTCTCTACATTTTCCAGAAAGTCCCTCCTTTTTGTTTGTGTCCCCTAGCCATCAAATAGCTTGGAACAAAGTGGAAGGTTTTGCTCTGTTGTGAGATTTGGAGCAGATTTCGTAGCAAAGACAGACACAGGTTTGGCTGGGAAACCAAACTATTCTTATTGATCCCTGTCTCATTTGCTGTCTACTAGAACAAATAAAGTTTTAGCCTTGCAGTAAATTGTAAAGAACTGGGTCTTACCTGGGCTTCAGTCATGTCTACCCCAGTGATATGCCCATTTTCTCCAACCAGCTGACTGAGCATATAACAGTCTCTACCGCTTCCACTACCCAAATCCAATATCCAGCAGCCCTCTAAACATTCTGGGACTACAAGTCCACAACCATAGTATCTGAAGGAGAAAAAATAAGTCAGTGTAGAAAAGAAAAATATTTCAAAAAGAGAGAAGTGGCATGAAATATTTATAGTGTAGTAGCAAGACGTTACACCTGCAACTCTTGCTCCCCAATATTCTCCCGTAGCAGTTTGCTTCCCAAGTCAAATCAAATTATATTGTATGGACAAAGTCATCACAATATTGCATGTTTGAAAAAAACATAAGAAAGGACAAGAAAATAATGATAAAGATAGACTACCCCCTTCAGTCAGACTAGTTTATTATACAAGCAGTCCCCTAGTTACAAACAAGATAGGTTCTGGAAGTTTGTTCTTCAGTTGAATTTGTATGTGTCAGAACAGGTACATTTTAAGTGTAACTCCAGCCAAATATGTGTGTGTGTTTTGGATAGCATAGGGAAGGGTTAACATCCCTGTGGTATTTGTTTTGCTGTCTGTGCCCCTGTTCAAAGGATTTCATATCACTTCCTATCTCTGTGATCATTGCATTTTGAACATTTTGGTTTGTTGTAAAAACAAGGATTTTTGATAAAGCTTCAGTGGAGACACCTCTTCCCCATAATAACTCTTCCAGGAGTGGATTTCCCTTTCGAAGGGTAGATTTATCACACTTTCTGTTCTCTCGCCCCTGTTTTTAATTACTGAGTCATTGGTAAATTGAATGTTTGTAACTTAGGGACTCTCCATACTTGCAATGTAAAAATGCATTCTTATTTAGCTATCTGTTCCTTAATCTTTTGTATATCTACTTGGAAATACTGTAAATCCTACCAAGTTCAACAAAGCTTCCTACTATAAGTAAAGGCACTGGATTACTATCTAGCAATGTATATTTAATAGAATGATAGAGTTGTAAGAGGCCACATGGGCTATCTAGTCCAAACCCCTGCCATGCAGGAAAAGCACAGTACTACTTCTAGGGAGTAGGTACAAAAGTGTAGTCTATACTTCTAAATATATATATATATATATATATATATATATATATATATATAAAGGCTCCTTCCACACAGCTGAATAAAATCCCACATTATTTGCTTTCAACTGGGATATATGGCAGTGTAGACTCAGATAACCCAGTTCAAAGCAGAAATTGTTGATTATCCATATAAAATCCAGATTATCTACTTTGAACTGGATTATGTAGCAGCGTAGAGTCATATAACCCAGTTCAAAGCAGATAATGTAGATTATCTGATTTGATAATCTAGATTAGATGGCAGTATAGAAAGGGCTTAAGATGCAAATCCTATTTACTACAGTAGAATGTACATATAAGACTGCATAGCAGAATTAATGCAATTTGATACCCCTTTAATTGCCATGGCTCAGTGCTACGCAATCCTGGGATTCTTGATTTGGTGAGGCATCAGCCCTCTTTGGAGAGAAGGTTAAGGCCATTGTAAAACTACAAATCCCTAGATTCCATAGCAATCAGCCATGGCAGTTAAAGTTGTGTCGAACTGCATTGATTCTATGGTGTAGCTGCTCCCTAGATAAATTTGTACAAGATCTATAACACCTTCCCTGATCTTGTACAGTAAGTTGCACTTAATCATCACTAGATGAAAACAAGCTTTGGCAATGACCGCTTTGTTTTATATCTCCAGAAGAAAGGCTCTAATCGCTTTCTTCTGGAGAATCACACCACACAAAATCCTAATTGTTCAGTAAGTCAACCATTCTTTTGATACACTGAGAAATCTATTGTCAAAGCTTCATAGCCAACATCACTGGGTTGTTGTAGGTTTTTGAGGCTATATGGCCATGTTCTAGAAGCATTCTCTCCTAACGTTTTGCCTGCATCTATGGCAGGCATCCTCAGAGGTTGTGAGATCTGAGGTTGTTGTAGGTTTTTCGAGCTGTATGGCTATGTTCTAGAAGCATCGGGTTGATGTAGCCCGAAAAACCTACAACAACCCACTGAGAAATCTTTTGAATTTTTAGTTTTTGAATTAAAGCCTCGCCATAACAATTCACCATTTACTCTACAGCAACTATTTTTTAAAAAATGATCTCTTGGTTACTTTATATTCATGACTCAATAGATATCTAAACAATTAATGTGAATGAAGTTTAAACAAAAATTCAATACTGTACTTTGCTGAAATCTCTTCATGAACACATTCCAGTGCTTCTCTGATAAAGGCAGGCAAAGGCCTTGCTGGAGTAACACAAGCGTTGGTTTTTAGATCCTCTGTTTTCTTCAGATCTTTGCCATAATAGTCCTAGGAAAGAAGCAACAGAAATATCAGACATATGTTTTGAGTGCTAACACCATTCAAGGCTGAACTGAAGACCTATCTCTTACGGCTGGCTAACCCAATCATTAAAACTGTGATTTCAAAATTTATATTTTATTTGTGTTTTAATACATGCATTTGTATGATACTGTAATCCTTACTATGTATTTTGATATATATTGGAGTAATGTGTTTTAAGTTTTTTTAATTGTGTCAGAAGCGATTTGAGAACATATTCCAAGTCGCTTCTGGTGTGAGAGAATTGGCCATCCACAGAAACAATGTCCAAGGGACGTCCAGATGTGTTACCATCCTGCTGGGAGGCTTCTCTCATGCCCCCGCAAGCTAGAGCTGACAGATGGAAGCTCACCCTATCTTACAGATGCGAACCAGCAAACTTCAGGTCAGCAACCCACCCTTCAGGTCAGCAGTCCAGCCGGCACAAGGGTTTAACCCATTGCGCCACTGTGGCTCCCTGTATATTTTAATGTATGTATTTTATGGTATGAATTTTCTGATGCTGAGTTTTGACTGTTTTGTATCCTGTCTCAAGTCATGAGAAGACGTGGGTAACAAACAAAATACTACTACTACTACTACTACTAATAAATAATAATAATGCATTTATATAGAATGTGCTATTGCAGTCAGTGACACATTTCCCATCACAAGTCATTGCCATTGTGCCACTCAGATTAAACAGGAATGTATGATAACAGACAGGTGAGGAAATAAAAGTGGCTCAGTAAATAGGAAGGTTGTTCATTTAGATTTCGGTACACAAGGCACCAAAGAGCTTGGCCAAAACAAGTCAAAATGGAGCATCTATGAGTATGTTGCAATAGGGTTGCTGCTACACAAGGCCCTTCCACACAGCCATATACCTCAGAATATCAAGGCAGAACATCCCACACTATCTGCTTTGAACTGGATTATTTGAGTCCACACTGCCATATATCCCAGTTCAAAGCAGATAATGTGGGATTTTATTCAGCTGTGTGGAAGGGGTCTAAGAAGTTGGTAAGATACCATTAAGGATGCATCTACATTAAGGGTGAGCCCCCGGTGGCACAGTGGGTTAATTTTGCTGACCGAATGGTTGCTGGTTCAAATCCGGGGAGTGGGGTGAGTTCCTGCTGTTAGCCCCAGCTGCTGCTAACCTAGCAGTTCAAAAACATGCAAATGTGAGTAGATCAATAGGTACCGCTTCATGCAGTTATGCCAGCCACATGACCTTGCAGGCATCTATGGACAACGCTGGCTCTTTGGCTTGGAAATGAAGATGAGCACCACCTCCCAGAGTTGGACACAACGGGACTTAATGTCAGGGAAAAACCTTTACCTCATTGTAGAATGAATGTAGTTTGATACCACTTGAACTTCTATCTCAATGCTATGAGATCATGAGAATTTTAGTTTGGTGAGGCACCAGCACTCACTGGCAGAGAAAAACTGCAGCTCCCATGAGTCATGGCAGTTAAAGGGCCCTTCCACGCAGCCCTATATCTTATCTGGGTGTCGACTCAGATAACCCGGTTTAAAACAGATATTGTAGGATTTTCTGCCTTGATATTCTGGGATATAGGGCTGTGTGGAAGGGCCCAAAGTGATGTCAAACTGCATTGATCCTACAATGTGTGGGCAATCTCAGTCTAAATACTGGGCATCCCATAAAGATCTTATTTTGCAATGAATCTCACCTGCACCTCCTTGTAGATCTTCTCTGCAGCCACTGAAAGGAAATAAAAGGAGTCAGATTTGGGTGTACATTCGCCCAGTAGCCTAAGGCACCAGATTCTGTCTAAATTTTGGAAGCTGAGCAGGGGTCAGAATTTGGATGTGAGACTGCGAAGGAATATTAGGTGCTGTAATAGACTAGATTTCAGAGGGACTGGCAAAACCACCTCTGAGTATTCCTTGCCTAAGAAATCCCTATAACAGTGTTTCTCAAGCTTCCTAATACTGCAACCCCTTAATACAGTTCCTCATGTTGTGGTGACCCCCAGCCATAAAATTATTTTAGTTGCTATTTCATAACTATAATTTTGCTACAGTTATGAATTGTAATGTAAATATTGGATATGCAGGATGTATTTTCATTCACTGGACCAAATTTGGCACAAACACCTGATATGTCCACATTTGAATACTGGTGGGGTGGGGGAGGGGATTGATTTTGTCATTTGGGGATTGTAGTTGCTGGTATTTATAGTTAACTTACAATCAAAGAGCATTCTGAATTCCACCAACGATGGAATTGAACCAAACTTGGCACACAGAACTCCCATGCTCAACAGAAAATATTGGAAGGGTTTGGTGGGCATTGACCTGGAGTTCTGGAGTTGTAATTCACCTACATCCAGAGAGCACTGTGCACTCAAACAATGGTGACTTCAGAAGAAAAAGGCAACTAATGCTTCCCGCTTACTTTTTTGGACCAGTCTGGGCTTTCTCCAACCTTCGGAATGAACCAAAACAACACAAAGCAGGCTCGGGCTCCTCCTTAACAGAACTGACCCGCCATGGAACCGCTTTATGATTCATCAGAGGCGTGGCTGTGCCCGGAAGGGGATCTGCTGGGTTTCTGCGGGCGGATCTCTCTCCTTCCACATTTTTCATTGCTCCTTCCAGCACTTTGCTCCACCAGATCCTGCCTGATCTTGAGGACTAAGCAGGAGCAATCATGGTCAGGACTAGGATGGGAGACCGGCTGTATTTCAGAGGCATATTACCTGGCAAAACCACCTCTGAGTATTCCTATAGTTTCCCTAAATCGACAGCTACTTGGGCATATATGCACACTCCAGTTCCAAGCATCTCATTTTCAACCTACATTCCAGCAGAAAGGCTAGAGACAGGGCAGGGTGATAACAATCTCTTATTGTTCCCCAAACAATGGCTTTGAACTCTATTCTGCCTGGGTTGCTGTTTTCCGGACTGTATACCCATGTTCCAGAAGCATTATCTCCTGACGTTTCGCCTGCATCTATGGCAGGCATCCTCAGAGGTTAGGAGTGACTGTTGGAAACTAGGAAAATGGGGTTTTTATATCTGTGGAATGTCCAGGGTGAGAGAAATAACTTTTGTCTATTGGAGGTAGGTGTGAATGTTGCAATTGGCCACCTTGATTAGCATTGAATGGCCTTGTAGATTCAAGGGGTGGCTTCTTCCTGCCTGGGGGAATCTTTAGTTGGGAGATGATTAGTTGGTCCCGATTGTTTCTTATTTCTTATTTATTTGTTTATTTATTTACTGCATTTATATTCCCAAAGGGGACTCAGAGCAGCTCACAAGATATATATGCATACAATATATTATTAGCATAGTACAATATCAGTATTAATTATTACTATATTGTACTATACCGTTATATTGTAATATTATTAGTAATATTACATGTAATATAAATATATAATTATAATATATATATGTTAGTAGTATTATATTGATTTACATTATAATATTATAAATATTATATGTATATACAATATATTATAGGTGACTGGCTCCCTACCTATCTAGGAACGACCTGGTTATGGTGATCCAGGAGACGGTCATCTCGAGGCTTGACTACTGTAACGCCCTCTACATTGGCCTTCCTTTGTCAGTGATCCGGAAACTGAAGCTCGTGCAAAATGGGGCGACTCGTCTTCTCACCGGAGTGCCGGCGAGGTGTCGTATCACCCCAATTCTACAACAGCTGCACTGGCTACCGATTGAGTACTGGATTACTTTCAAGGTGCTGGTACTAACCTTTAAGGCCTTATATGGTCTGGGGCCGGCGTACCTGAGGGCCCGCTTATCCCCCTACCAACCCCAGAGATTACTTTGGTCCGAAGACCAAAATTTGCTTGAAGTCCCCAACATCCGGACTTATCATCTGTCCTCTACTAGGCAGAGAGCCTTCTCAATTGTGGCCCCTTATTTATGGAATGCCTTGCCAGTTGAAACCCGAACCATCCGAGACCTACTTGCTTTTTGGAAAGCCTGTAAAACCTTTCTCTTCCGACAACCTTTCGATGGGTTAATAACTCGGGACTATGTCTGTTCTTGTTTTATTGTATTTTAAAGTTAATTGTATTGTTTTAAACTACTGCTGTAAACTGCTCCGAGCCAAATTGGGAGTAGCGGTATACAAGTCAAATAAATAAATAAAATAAATATTATATTATATTATTATATTATATTATGATTGTTTCTTGTCTGGAATTCTCCTGTTTTTGAGTGTTGTTCTTTATTTACTGTTATGATTTTAGAGTTTTTTAATACTGGTAGCCAGATTTTGTTCATTTTCATGGTTTCTTCCTTTCTGTTGAAATTGTCCACATGCTTGTGGGCTTCAATGGCTTCTCTGCGTAGTCTGACATGGTGGTTGTTAGAGCCGCCCAGCATTTCTGTGTTCTCAAATAATATACCGTGTCCAGGTTGGTTCATCAGGTGCTCTGCTATAGCTGAATTCTCTGGTTAAATTAGTCTGCAGTGCCTTTCGTGATCCTTGATTCGTATTTGGGCAATGCTGCGTTTGGTGGTCCCTTTAAAGACTTGTCCACAGCTGCATGGTAGACATGGCAGGAAACAGCCAGGTTTTGAAGCTGCAAGGCCATTCAATGTGAATCAAGGTGGCTAATTGCAACATTCACACTTGCCTTTGGTGTTCCTTGATTCATGTTTGGACAATGCTGCATTTGGTGGTCCCTTTGTAAAGTTATCCACAGCTACATGGTATACAGTAGATTCCTGCAGAGGTGGACAAATCTACATAGGGACTACCAAACACACCAATGAGCACAAATCAAGAGAATGCTTCTGGAACATGGCCATACATCCTGGAAAACACACAACAACCCAGTGATTCTGGCCATGAAAGCCTTCAACAATATATTTATTGTGCCTCTTTTTAAGGTTTTGAGGCAGTACAAGCTGAACATACCTGGAATTCCAAAATCCTCCAAAATTATCCACATGGGTGATTGAGACAGTGAAAACTTTGCTTACTGATGTACAAAAACCTTGCACGTTATTAAAAACACTGTATAAAATTATATTTAGCCTATATCAGGCATAGGCAAATTTCAGCCCTCCGGGTGTTTTGAACTTCAACTCCCACAATTCCTAACAGCCTATTGGCTGTTAGGAATTGTGGGAGTTGAAGTCCAAAACACCTGGAGGGCCATGCCGGGATATGTGTAAGGCATACTATGAAACATAAATGAATTTCATTCCACCTCCAAGATATCTCAATATGTACCTATATGCAAATACAATTCAAAATCCCCAATACAAAGCATTTCTGGATTTTATTTTTATTTATTTTGGATCAGGAATACTCAAATCTGTATATAAAACCATTATGATAAGGGGAGACGATAAGCACGCATCAGGCAGTGAATCCTCAGAAAATCATTCCAGAAAAACTACAATCTTTTTCCTTCTACGGAATGCAATGTAATACCTGGTCAATATAAAAAAAAAACACTGCACTTTGGACCATTAATGGCCAATTATATTGTGACTGCTTATTTCATATTGGGAATAGCAGGGCTAATAATGCCCATCTGGCATAAATGAATTTAATTAGTATCAAGTCTCTGAGCTTAGATGTGTATGTGTATGTGTGAGAGACCAACTGCATAGATGTTCAGTCTAATTAATTTTATTCCTATTTAGAACAAGCTGGTTACAAAATTAATATTTATTTATTTCACATATTTTTTCTTATTCTTAGGCAATTCTGCGTAGCCTAAGGATGATGGTCCTCCATGTGTAGTGTCTTGGCGGTGGGTCTGTAGGTGGCTGTGGAGCCCTATTCTTAATCCGCATGTTCTCCCGCAGTTAGGGCATCGGTTTCCAGGTGGAAGGCAGTCCTGGTCAGGGTTGGCTTGATGCGCCTTGTTCTTGGCACATTTTCTCCCTTTTGCCCTCCATTTTTGCCCTTTGAATTCTGCAACACTGCTGGTCACAGCTGACTTCCAGTTAGAGCGGTCACTTATTTGTATCCTGCCTTTCTCACCCTAAAAGGGGACTAAGGGCGTCCTTACCACAGGCAGCGATTCAATGCCAATACTTATAAATATAAAAATAAACAAATACAATTAAAAACCATACAATTAAACATCAATTATTAAAACATCAAGTAAAATCATGTAATTCAGATCGTAGTCCAAGGCCTGTCCAACTGTCAATTCCATTAGTTCATTATGTTTATTGCACTATTTACTGGTTGACTGCTTGGTCCCACAGTAATATGTATAAACTTCTTAAAAGCCTTGGATTTAAAACCATTTCCTGATATGGTGCACAGTATATATGAAATAACACATCTCTCCCACACACATGTCCACAAATCTCTATGCATCATGATGTAATAAATAATTCTGATCTGAGAAAATTGTACTTTCAAAACAAGATATTTTTTAAACTTTGCTTTCATCTTTGTGTAAGAATGAAATGGCCAAAATTGAAAAACACAACAGGGACACAACAAAATGTTGTAATGTGTTTAATGTGCCAACTGCCCATCTCAATAGTCCATTGTATTTCTTGCCCAAGAGAGAAGAGTGGAGGCTTTTCTTGAAATCTGAGCCAAATAACAACACCGAGGAACAATAGGATAGAATTCTTCAATAACATTACTAGTGTGGAATAGAAACAAAAACTCTGCTAAAGAAATAAGATGGTGAGCATGCCACAGTCCACTGCTAATTTTTCTCATAAATATTTTTATATGGGTTGCTGTGAGTTTTCTGTGCTGTATGGCCATGTTCCAGAAGCATTCTCTCCTGATGTTTCATCCACATCTATGGCGGGCATCCTCAGAGGTTGTGAGGTATGATTCTGGAATGCTTCTGGAACATGGCCACACAGCCCAGAAAACTCACAGCAACCCAGTGATTCCAGCCATAAAAGCCTTCGACAACATATTTTTATATGTTTTGCAAGAGAAGGAATCACTGAGATGGAAGGGGCCTTGTGGTATATCAGGTCCAACCACTGCTAAGTACAGGATCTCAATGCTATAGTTTACATAAGCAATGGACCCCCTCAGAAAAACCAGAAATATTTTTTATTATGCAAAACATATTAAACTTTATTATTTTCCAGTTGTGTCTTCTCTTAACAAGTAAAAATACACCTCTCCTCAACTCATGTGAACAAAGTGAAAATGTCATTTCCAAGAAATGCAGGTATATATTAAACGCGGTTAGTAGAAATAATTCTGATTTAAATTGGCTCAGAACAGCTTGTAGAAATGAGATATCTTCAAAACTTCTCCAACTGTATATCTACAGATTCCTGGATCTGCAGAGAATTACATAATGAAGCCAAGGCTGCTTAATCAAGACACGGGGCAGAGATGAATGTGTAAGAATGCAACCCAAGGTCAAAACCGACAACAGATGCACAGCTTTTAAGGGAGTACATTTTAAACCTTTTTTTCTGCCAAAATGACTGTATGCACACACTGGAGCTGTTCCAGCACTGCTAACAATCACACAGCATATACTGTATATTGAGTACAGTGACAAAAGAGCAGCATCTTCCCAAGCATGTTTATTTAAAATTAATTTTTATATTTAATAAGATGTACATAACACCGAGCATTCATACAGTTGTGGGAAAATTTCCCAAATAATAAGAAATCAAAAGCATTGAATGTTTGCCTTTTTTGTTTGTTGGAATCTGTCCTGAGGCCCCTCGGGGATATAAGGTGGAATATAAATAAAGTATTAGTATTACTACTACTTGTAATGAAGTAGGCATAATTTGGCGTTATATGTTTTTCGGGCTGTATGGCCATGTTTAGAAGCATAATTTTTGTAAACAGTATGAAGTTAGGCATTGAAAGCAAATATAGAAAGTGCCTTGATTTCCATTCAGCACTTTCTACTCCTGTTGTCCAGGGAAAAGGTAGATATACAACCCACACAAAATCATATGCTCTACTGGAAGTCTTGTACAGGTCAACTTTTTACTCACACTTCTGCCTTCTGTAAACCGTTTTATAGGTAGTTTAGACATGACATGTTCCAAGGTTAAACCTATACCTCAGTGCTACAAAATAGTGGTTCACAGCACAATACTGATCCACAAGCTGTTTGCTGACAGCTTGATATAGGTTTCCAGGATTTAAAGAAACAGTTGTGGCCAATGGGCACAACGTGGTGCCGGTCCTTGAAGCATGTAGCAATTTCAAAGAGATTTCTATTGCTCTTTTGGGTAAAGGAAGAACTTTACATCCATATTCCTTTGGGTTTTTGTATTATCTAAAAGAGGAAAACTTTTACCCTTTCAAAGCACTAAACAAGATGCATGATTTCTGAACTGCAGAAGTAAAAAAAAAACTCATGGAAATGAATCCTGCTATGCCTTAGATTTCTCAAGAGAAAATAACATAAACACAGAGAATTGAAGTCTGTAACTAAACATAAAATACCTATACATTTACAAAAAATACATCTGTTGTTAAAAAAAAGTAATTGCCACTCCATGCCTGAGTTGTGCACAGAACAATGTTGACTTTCCATTTGCTCAACTTAGATTAGTGCAGTTACAAAAAATGTGGCTACTGAAGCTGGCAAAGGTATGGGGATTTTGCTCCTCAAGATGTGTTTTGTTTCTAGCTGATCTTAAATACTATCCAGTGCTTTCCCTTCACTTCAGAAGGTGGCTCAGTTGATCTCTCAGATTTGAAGACTGTTCAACACTGAGGAGGAAAAGGAAAATGTCAAAAGATTGTTATGGATATATCAGACAATTACTGGCAACAGTCTAAGCCAGAATGGGCAAACTTCGGCCCTCCGGGGGACTTTGCACTTCAACTGTCACAATTCCTAACAGCCGGTCGTGTGTTAGAAATTGTGGAAGTTTAAGTCCAATACACCCGGAAGGTTGAAGTTTGCCCGTGCCTGGTCTAAGCTAATTCTGTGTTTCGGTGTATGAGCCGGAAAACATATACAAAGGCAGGAAACAGATACATCCATCTCAAAACCATTACTATCATGGAATGCCACACTGAATAAATGAAAAGTTTTTGCAGCACTTTAAAATGCCACAATACGCATTTTATTAAGATGTAAAAACAACTGAAAAACCAGCTAAACAAGTTTGTTGCTAGGATGCAAGTTTGCAAACAACCCTCATCAACCAGCAGATGACAAAAAATTGCAGTCCACTGGAAACTTACTTGGAGACTATTTTCCAGCTTACTCCTGAATACCAAACGCAGGATTGAAATGCACATGTTCTGACAGTAAGGAAACAACCCAAAGTAAGCAAAAGATACTGTGATTTCTACTAAAATACTATGTTTTCTACTAAAACCATAACAATGATGCACACTGGCAGAATGAGTCTGATCTTTAGTGACTCAAATGTCATTTGAGAGGAACTATTAAAGTGTGATCTTATGTACCTATGTAGAAAGTCCCAATGCTCTGAATGGCAGATGTGTTTGTTTGTACTCTCATATTTAGATAGCAAGATACTTATATGGTGGAAATATGCAAAGCAATGCAGAATGTGCTCTTCTTGACCATCATTAATCCATAGTCACATTTTTAAAAAAATCTTGGACTTTTACTCATCTCTTTTCACATATGTTGTTAATGGTATAGCAAGGAATATTTTTTTAAAATGTATGATCCGTTGCATTCTTCAACATTTATGTGACATCAGTAGTGTTCTCAGCATAGTATAGAGATGACATAGGCTCAGGGGTGGGAACTACATTGGACTATAACTGCATTGGACTATAACTATGACATTGGATTATTGGACTATGTTAAAATAGAATGAATAAAAATAATTGTTGTTGTTGTTATTATGTGCCTTCAAGTAATTTGGCACATGGTGACCCTAAAGAGTTTTCCGAGAATAAGACTGTTTGACTTGGTCGAGTGGAAAATTGAAACACTGTGTTGTCGAAGGCTTTATATTATTTATTTAACAATTTAAACACTGTTCTCCAGAGACACAGTCTAGCACTTAAACTACTTGTCACATTGGCTCCAAGGAGAGAAGAATGTTTGTTTATAGCAGGAATGGGCAAACTTCGGCCTTCCAGGTGTTTTGCACTTCCAAAATTCCTAACCTAACAGCCGGAAGTCCAAAACATCTGGAGGGCTGAAGTTTGCCCATGCCTGCTATAAACAAGAAGAACTGGAAATGTAAAATCTAATCTCCCACACTAAGAAAATCAGAAGATACTCACTTTTTCTGAATAGCTTCTTGCCTAGAAAAATGCAGAAGGGAGAAAAACATTACAAGGAATTCCGATAAAGAATACTTAAGCACATGTTCCTGTCGTAATATCGAAACAGAAAGCCCTAAGGTTGGTATGAAAGACACAAAGAAGCCTGAGAAATATATTTGTTTAGGGGCAAGTCTAAAAGGCCCATTTTAATGCCACTTACCAGATCTTCAGAATATAAGACTATGCACTAACTCTACCCTAGTAATGAACCAAACAGGGTGTTCTAGAATACTATTAGTAGAATAATTTCAATAATCTTGGGTTCAGTTTCAATTTTGTTTTGCAGAGATTCCCTGCCTCTGATGTAAAGTGGTCTGTGCATGCAATGTGGGGACTACAGAAGACACAACTTTACACCCACACTAGCTCATCAGACCAAGAATACACAACATGTACACTTACTGATATTGTAGATGAGTTGTTATAATCGCCATTTTCCTTAAACTCTGCAAATAACAATATATGAAATGTCATTTTGTCGGTCAGTTCAATCATTACATCAGGCACTGTAAATTACTCAGAAGTTATTGCATGCTAGATTATGCTAGTGACAGTTAAAGTTGCACTGAAGTATCCATGGGCTTTTACAATTATGCTTTAATAGAAAAGTAGGTTTTGCAAATTTCTCTAAAAATTGTCAAAGCAAATTGTGTTTTAGATCATTCTTGCAGTTCACAAAACATTACTGTATTTCTTCACACAATAGTTGCATTTATATCTCTTTTTTGTTGGAAAAAGGGGATGAAACTATTAGGCAATGAAATAAAATTGCTGCCTTGTGTTTGCTGGTTTGGGCTTTTTTTTAAAAAAGGACTGTTTCACCCCCGAGTCTACACTGCCATATAGTCCAGATCATCAAAGTAGAAAATCCACATTATCTGATTTGAACTGGATTATTTGAATCTACACTGCCACATAATCCAATTCAAAGCAGATAATCTGGATTTTGTACAGTTGTGTAAAAGGGGCCATTGGGGAGGGAAAGACAGCTCCGTGTTTGCTTAAACCAGTGGTTCCCAATCTTTGGTCTTCCAGTTGTTTTAGACTTCAACTCCCAGAAATCCCAGCTATCTTACCAGCTGTTAGGAATTGTGGGAGCTGAATTCCAAAACACCTGGAGAAATCCACACTGAACTGCATCGTATGGTAGTGTGGACACAGATAACCCAGTTCAAAGCAGATATTTTGGATTATCTACCCTATGAGGAGCATCTTAAAGAGCTGGCCATGTTTAGCCTGCAGAAAAGAAAGCTGAAAGGATACATGATGGCTATGTATAAATATGTGAGGGAAAGTCATAGGGAGGTGGGAACAAGCTTGTTTTCTGCTGCTCTGGAGACAAGGAGGACAGAGAAGAAAACATTTCAGATCTAAAAAATTGGGTTGCAATTATTAAATGGTGGCGACTATTCTGTGATGAAATATGTTGAGTACTACCAGGGAAAACATCCACTTTTAAATTACAAGTTTCAAATTGATGAACCATCCCTTACATCTTCCGAGTGCAGGATAGCATCCTCTTGCATCACCATATTTCTGGCAGCTTGTCCTAAGAACTTAAAAGACACAAAATCCATAGTCAAGGAGACAAGTTTCATGCTCTGAAGGGCTGGCACGCAGTTAAAGTGGTGTCAAACTGCATTAACTCTACCATGTGGGCACCCACTAGGTCTACATCAGGCCTGGGCAAACCTGGGCCCTCCAGGGGTGTTGGACTGCRGCTCCCACCATTCCTAACAGCCTCAGGCCCTTTCCTTTCCCCCCTCAGCTGCTTAARGGGCCTGAGGCTGTTAGGAATGGTGGGAGCTGCAGTCCAAAAGGAAGGAAGGGGCCTGAGGCTGTTAGGAATGGTGGGAGCTGYAGTCCAAAAGGAAGGAAGGGGGTTGAGGCTGTTAGGAATGATGGGAGCTGCAGTCCAAAAGGAAGGAAGGGGCTGATTCTGTTAGGGATGATGGGAGCTGCAGTCCAAAAGGAAGGAAGGGGCTGAGGCTGTTAGGAATGATGGGAGCTGCAGTCCAAAAGGAGGGAAGGGGCCTGAGGTTGTTAGGAATGATGGGAGCTGCAGTCCAAAAGGGAGGAAAGGGTCTGATTCTGTTAGGAATGATGGGAGCTGCAGTCCAAAAGGAAGGAAGGGGCCTGAGGCTGTTAGGAGTGATGGGAGCTGCAGTCCAAAACCCCTGGAGGACCCAAGCTTGCCCAGGGCTGGTGTAGATGTAAATCAGGACAAAGGGAACGCCATCAGTCCCACTGAAACCCCTCCATTTCCTTGCTTGTGCCAGGTGGCAGCCAGAAAGCTTTGCCCAGCTGCTGAAATGAGAGTAAGCCAAGGACTGAGGCACCTGAAGCTTTCCCTAGAGTTCATTTGACAACACTGACAAGCAAACTTCAAATCCCAGCATGCACTGCGCGGCGCCTCTCCTTGTCTAGTGCGTGCTCTCCCGCGCAGTGCATGATGGACCTCGTAGTCCAGCCCTACCTCGGCGCTGCGAGAGCCCTTCAGCACTTGCTTGGTGAGGGCGATGACATCCGTGCCGCAGCTGGTCACCTTCTCGGTCAGCAGGCCCTTCACCGAGTGGCCAAACCGAGCCTGGACATCGACCACACTCCCCGCCGCGGTGGCCGCCATCTTGACCCCTGGCACAGAGGGACGGCAGGCGGAAGGAGACAAAAGAGAAGGAAGCGCAAAGCAGTTTGCAGCTGTGAATGCCAGGGACCACGTGATGTGCAAGGTTAAAGCCAGTGAGGAAGAGTTCTTGTTTCTGTTAAGATGCCTTTATGGTGTTCATGTAAAAGGAAGGGAGTTGATGATAAAAAAAACCAAAAAGCAGAGTAAAAATGCTTTTCTTTATTTTAATTTACAGTTCTGTTAATTTTAAGACTTAAGGACTTCAACTCCCACAATCCCTGACAGTCTCAGGCCCCTTCCTTTTTAAAAAAAAACAAAACAAACAAAAAGGGACATTTGTTTTAATTCAAATACATGAAAAATCTTTCTTAAGTTTCAGTAGTTATTGAGGCTGTTCCTGAAAATTAACCCTTATGATAATGGCTGCTTCACCATGCGGCTGCTTTTAAGGGAAAGACAGAGGGGATAAGAGATCTCAACTCACACCAGTTTGGCTTTAACTAAGTCGTGTTATTTTTTTTAAAAAATAAACACTCAGCCCAAAGGCCTTGAAAGTGAGGAGGACACTTACTGTTCTGTCAGGCTCTTCCAGATGCTTCCAGTATGAATACTTCTTGGTTCAATATTCAGTACTCAATATGCCCAAATGTAAACACTGGTGAGGTTTGGAGAAAATTGACTTGATATATGGGAGTTATAGTTGCTGGGATTTATAGTTCACCTACAATCAAAGAGCATTCAGAACACAGAAGTCCCATGACGAACAGAAAATACTGTGTTTTCTGATGATCTTTGGTGACCCCTTTGGCACCCCCTCACAACCCCCCCACACACACACACACACCTTAGAACAAGTTAGAAACACTGATCTAAGTACTGACTATAGTCAGCCCTCCACATTCAGTGGGGTTAGGAGCACAAGAGCTCTGTGAAGGTAAACAACGGCAAATAAAGAAAAAAATATATAATTGTGAACATAACCACAACACCAGTTTGACAATGGTTCACGCTGATAGGCCAGAGCAAACCCTGCAAGGCTGGTCTTATGGCTTGGTCTTGCACATGTGTAGAGTGGTCCTTGGGAAAATCCCATTGCCCTGAACCAGGATAAAACTACAGTATACCTTTGTCCTTATGCTTAGCACTTACATGCTGGATTTTAAGATTATGTGTCAATTGCTGACACGACAGGTAGGTATTGAAAAACACAAACATTGTCTTGAAGGCTTGCCTCTTGGAATCTCATAAGTCTTGCAGAATCTCATGACAGTTAGCTCATGGTCACAAATCCTGGTCAGAAAGCAATGAATCAGGTGATAGCATTGGACTTCATGAAAAGCACAGGTGAAGGTTCTATGGATTAAAGGTAAAGGTTAAACTTTTCCCTAGTCGTGTCCAACTCTGGGGGGTGGTACTCATCTTCATTTCTAAGCTGAAAAGCCGGTGTTCTCTGTAAATACTTCCAAGGTCATTTGGCTAGCATGACTTCATGGAGCGCCGTTAACCATCCCACAGAAGCAGTACCTATTGATTTATTCACATATGCATGTTTTCAAACTGCTGGCCACATGACCTAGGAGGTATCTATGGACAACGCTGGCTCTTTGGCTTAGAAATTTAGATGACCACCCCCCCCCCCCCACAGACTCAACTAGACCAAATGTCAGGGGAAACCTTTACCTTTACTTGAGTTGGCAGAAGCTGAGCTTAACAGTGTGAGCTCACCCTACTCCCCGGATACGAACTGCCAATCTTTCGGTCAGCAAGTTTAGCAGCTCAGTGGTTTAACCCACTGTGCCACCAGGTGGTTTATTTATTTATTTTGTGTCAAAAGCATGGCATACATAAGTATAAAACTGACAAAAACAAAAGGAGCACAAGTAGCTAAATAATTTTTGACTAAAACTGGGCAACAACAACTGCATTGTCTGTAGCTTTAAACCAGCATTTCTCAATCTAGAGGGGAGTTGCAAGGGGAGTGTCAGAGCGGTCACCAAAGACCATCAGAAAACACGGTATTTTCTGTTGGTCATGTGGGTTCTGTGTGGGAAGTCTAGCCCAGTTCCATCATTGGTGGAGTTCAAGGGGCTCTTTGATTGTAGGTGAACTACAACTCCCAAATGTCAAGGTCTGTTTTCCCCAAACTCCACCACTGTTCACATTTGGGCATATTGAGTATTCATGCCAAGTTTGGTCCAGATCCATCATTGTTTGAGTCCATAGTGCTCTCTGGATGTAGGTGAACAACAACTCCAAAACTCAAGGTCAATGCCCACCAAACCCTTCCATCGTTTTTTGTTGGTCATGGGAGTTCAGTGTGTGAAGTTTCCATCATTGGTGGAGTTCAGAATGCTCTTTGATTGTAGGTTAACTATAAATCCCAGCAACTAAACTCCCAAATGAAAAAATCAATCCCCCCGCAGCCCCAGTAGTATTCAAATTTGGGTGTACTGGCCAAATTTGGTCCAGTGAATGAAAATGCATTCTGCATATCAGATATTTACATTACAATTCATATCAGTAGCAAAAATTTAAGTTATGAAGTAGTAACGAAATAATGTTGTGGTTGGGGGGTCACCACAATATGATGAACTGTATTAAGGGTTCACGGCATTAGAAAGGCTGAGAACCACTGCTAACCATTCTTCCTCTATTCATGAGGCAAGGCATCGTGGGCAAACATACCAATGCTGAGCGGTTTGTTCTGAGTAGTTTGTTCTGGTCCACAGTCACACAAGGCGAAGGATTCTTCCAGGTTGCCAGGTTGTCTTTTGATCTGCCCACCCCACTTCTGAGTCTATTCAGGGACTTCCAAGTTGCCCATTCTTGGTTTGCCCCTGGAAGAAGATCCTCATGGGGAGTCATCCATTTGTGATTTCCTGGTTTAGCTGCTCAGAAAGATAGTCTTGCTGTTGCTGGGGGAACATTAAGAGGAGTGGTGGTTCTCATTAAGCTTGTCCTTGATTTGAGTCTACTGGGAGGAGGCTGATAGCCATGCAGTGGATGGCTTTCACAGTGTTCAACCTTATTTCTCTCACAGTTAGCAGCAACTTCCCATCGCACATCGGGGGTGGGGGCAATGCCAGCTAGTTAAGAGATCCTGTTCACCAGCCACTTCCTCTTCTCAGCACAGAGGGTATCTATCACCTTTTTCTGATCCGTCAGTCAATGGCTCAGCCCTGTACTGGTTGGGAGGTGAAGAAGCTTCCTGCTCTCAGCTGTATTTACAGCCAAGTTGGAAGAAGAATGACTTGGTACATTGTGTTTTCAAGAAGAGTTGTTGTGTTTGTGTACACAACACCCAGGAAATGGTTGGTTGATTGATCCATAATAAGTCCCGTCATAATTTTCTAGACTGCTTACTTTCCAAGAAACATTTGCCTGGCCTGAGAGTCATCACCCCATGCCCATGTGCTTAAGCACAACCTTGTAGGATAAATGTGTCTCTTGACATTTTATAGCTGTCTGAGTTGGTTCATTCCAAATATTGATCTGCATGTCTAGCAAGAACATAATTTAGTTGGAATAAAACCAACCAGTTAAAATTAGTAATTAAACAGAGAAGCCATGAACAACACTTGGTCTATAGCAGTGGTTCTCAGCCTGTGGGTTTTGCCCTACAACTCTCAGAAATCCCAGCCAGTTTACCTGGCTGTGGATTTCTGGGAGCTGAAGGCCAAAACATCCAGGGACCCACAGATTGAGAACCACTGTTATATAGAGAATGGCAACATTTTCAACACAAAATTCTAGACTCTCATAGAGAGCACCTACAGAAGGCTGTAAATTGCTGTTATATGTTTTCAGTTTGGCTTCAATTAATGTAGTCATGCATTATCCACACACTCCTCACCCCCAATTAAAGATAGTTTATAATCAGGGAACTTATAGTTTTGCCAAGGACACTAGGCTGGACTGATATAATAAGGGCTGAGTCTTGGCCAATTTGTAAAGGTACTAAGGGGTGATTTGAATGCAACATTCCTGCTTCTTGGCAGGGGGTTGGACTGGATGGCCCATGAGGTCTCTTCCAACTCTTTGATTCTATGATTCTATGATCTATGATTCTAACAACAACAAGGACCATTCCCATATTAGATAGTGTGTACATTTAATCAAGGCTTTATGTTCTTGCAGAAGGTGGGAGGAGAGCAATGGCCAATCTTGATAAAATAGTGAAGAGTAGAGACATCACACTGGCAACGAAGATCCGCATAGTTAAAGCAATGGTATTCCCCGTAGTAACCTGTGGATGTGAGAGCTGGACCATAAGGAAGGCGGAACGAAGGAAGATGGACGCTTTTGAACTGTGGTGTTGGAGGAAAATTCTGAGAGTGCCTTGCACCGTGAGAAGATCCAGCCAGTCCATACTTCAGGAACTAAAGCTCGACTGCTCATTGGAGGGAAGGATATTAGGGGCAAAGATAAGGTAATTTAGCCACATAATGAGAAGACAAGAAAGCTTAGAGAAGGCAATGATGCTGGGGAAAAAGGAAGGAAAAAGGAAGAGGGGCCGACCAAGGGCAAGATGGGTGGATGATATCCTTCCATCTTGGCTTTACTCTGAAGGAGCTGAGGGTGGTAACGGCTGACAGGGAGCTCTGATGTGGGCTGGTCCATGAGGTCATAAAGAGTCGGAAGCAACTGAACGAATAAACAACAACAACGAATAGCAGAAGGTAACTGCTGTATTTACTGGTATTTATTGTAATTTACTGGAAACCATGTCACAAAAGGTATTTGACCTTTGTTGAGCCAGAATGAATAATTCTGTTAATTGTTCCCTACCCCAATCAGTGGTTCTCAAACAAAGGGACTCCAAGGTCTTTTGTCTAAGGTTGGGCTGAGGAAAATTTACATTTCTAGGCTTTAGGCTGAAGGCTAAACAAAAGGGGGAAAGCCAAGTAAACAATATATATTTGATAATCTTGCCCTTATTTCTCAAATCCAAAATGTATCTTTTCTGCCTAATCTTGCCTCTCTTTATGATCTTTGACTCACCTTTTCTGGACCCTACTAAAACACACACACATACAGTATATAGCTAAACCATCATCCACCAGATAGTCTTTCAAAAACATCCCAAGCCCCATTTTGCTTCCTTTTCCCCTTTACCATTCATCCCCCCCTCTCCCCCATCAACTACCAAACTCATAATCCCCCCCTTGCGTTGGATTCCCTTTCCCATCACCTGTGTCAACCTAACTCCCCTGAGGATATGGAGACCTAGAGAATCTCCCTTCTTCACCCACAGGTCCTTTCTGCATGTGTTTTCCTTCTCAGGGGGGGGGGGCGGGTCAACCCATCTAGTGTCTAGATGTCCTTGTCTTCCTGGAACCCTCATGTGGCTGTCCCACTATCCTTTTCCATAATTTCATATTTCTTCCCCATAAGAGGACCAAGGAAGATAGGTCCCTTAGGGAGCATTATGTATCCCAATCTGTATGTAAACCCCCAACTCATGGAAACCAGGCTTCCGGTAAGGATACCCCTGCAATGATGCCCCCTCACTCGTATATGTTTACTCTTGTTTATGCTTTTTTATCACTTTATAAAATTATTGGAGAAGTTCCAACCTAGCCTGCTCACATTTTTCCTGTCCAGGGAAGATTGACCAACATCTTGCCAGGCTTAATTTGCATTTGATTGGATTCAGTCAGCTACCTCCATGCAACCCATAAGACCCAAGTGTCACAAAGGTCAGTCAGAGCCAGGAGGACTAATCAGCCTTTGCATTGCTGCTTGGACAATACGTGACATTTGTCATTCTGGTATGGAGTTCAGAGTCACGAGAAACCATGCCACTGTCTTTGGAAAGGCAATTTCCCCTTTTTTATTCCTAGCCATTGAACATTTATCCTTCTAAGGATGGACAATGCTTTCTGCAGGAACTTGGGTGGGAGCCCGGTGTTCAGGGCCCTGGGTTCGATCAGGACTGAATACATAAGGGACCATAAAGGTTTTGGAAGACCCATCAGGGTCATTGTGTTCGTACACCAGGGACTGTTAATCCCATTACAAGTCATTTCTTGCACCTATTATTCATCATTGGACAGAGGGAAATCTACATCGGAGGCAGGCAGCACTCTCCCATTGGCTGGGGCGTGCCGGACTCCCACTTCCGCAGAAAGACCTCGTTGATGTCATCCAGGCTTGGCCAATCACGGCCAAAGCTGGGTCCAGCTGGGAGTGGTGGGAACTTTGAATCTGACATGTATAAAAATGCCTGTTTTGCTATACAATGTATCTCAGCTTATCTTGGGCGGATTACTGTAGGCTGGCATCACTTTCAGCTGAAATAAATAAATACCTCGGTGACTTCTGCTTCAACTTGGTGAGATTTATTCTGGAATATTGGCTTCTTTTTCTCACAATAACAATGTTCATGAGCGGGAAAGATGTCCTTGCGAGTCCAAAACATTAGGCAGAGCTCTTAAAGCCCCAAAAGGAAAGTCTGTTGGTTTCCCACTGAGCCATTGGGTGGAATTCTGCCACGCTGGGATTGAAGCTGGTCCTTGGGAAACTACAACTCTCATGAAGGACAGAAGTCCCAAGATCCAGCCGTTCCCCAAAAGTCTCATGGGGTCCTTGTTGTTAGGGCCTTGGCAATGTGACCAAGACTTAACCCTTACTGTGCAGTCTGGTGCCCTTGCCCTTTGCAGAACTATAAGTCACTATCCCTTATTTGGGGTGGGGGGGTGGGGGGGGTGCTCGGCTTCAGGGGGACATGAGAGAAGCCTCCCACAGGATGGTAAAATATCTGGGAGTCCCCTGCACAACGTCCCTGCAGACGGCCAATTCTCTCACACCAGAAGTGACTTGCAGTTTCTCAAGTCGCTCCTGAGACACACAAAAAATATCATCTAGATGAGTGGAAGAAGGGGAACTTCACTGTGGGAAAGGGACTACTCAAGGTCCCCATGGAACCTAATTTCAGTTTTGCCTCTTTTCCTTTTTTTCTCTGTGCTGCAACTTGATAGAACAGAACAACTGCTGATGTTAGAATTATGTGTGAGAAGGAAGAATCCTTGGGGAGAAAAGACAGCATCTTCTAAGTCCCAGTGGTTCTTTAATTCTGGCTTGAATCAGCACTCATCCTTACAGTCCTTGATGTGGAGTGCTATCCAAGAGAAGATAACAAGAACTCTCTTAGGATGAAAATGTCATTTGAAAAAAAATGCAACCAAAGAAATAGCCTTAATTTTGATTATTTCTTTGGCTTGGGATTGCTAAAACCTCTGGGGTTAAAGGCAAGGTTAAGTTTAAGCTCCAGATTACAGTTATCTCCCAGCTATTAATTAACAAGGCAAGGCAGAAACCCAAGGCAAGGTGATGTCACAACAAGCCCTTATAAGAATCCAAACATTGGCTGTTGCGAGGCAATTGCCTTCCTTGACCGCTTGTTCTTGGCTCCCAGAACAAACTTCAGGGCAAACAGAGGAACAATGCTGGTTCTTTTGATCCTCTTTTTTGTGATGCTGTCCTTCCTGTCCTTCTCAATGAAGGCCCAGGTGAAGCTGAAACGCAAGCGCAACTACCCCAAGAGCCTGCCTTCCTTGCCACTCATTGGGAGCCTGTTGCATTTTATGGGAGATACAAAGCCTCACCTTCTCTTCCACAGATTGCAGCAGAAGTATGGCAGCCTCTACTCTCTCTACATGGGCTCTGAGTATGTGGTGGTGGTGAACAGCTATCTCCATGCCAAAGAGGTCCTGCTAAAGAAAGGGAAGATCTTTGGTGGAAGGCCTAGAACAGTAAGCAAACCATTAGTATCTAAGGTTTTCTAAATCTATGCCAGTGGGTGGGAACATGTCATTTCCCCATCAGTTGGTTCCTACAAACTCCAAAAAGCATGGTCGACGTTCAGGAATGGTGGGAGTTCTACTTCCAAGATTATCTGCCTCACATGCAATGGGTGATATTAAGTTCTATGTGCTTTAGTTTGGATAGCTATGGGGAATGACATTTGCACATATGTGTGTGTAGGTTTACAATATCATTCATGGCCACATCATTTCGCCTCCATATACGTAGAGAGGCAAATCATTCATCCTGCTCATCTGATAGTATCTTGGCAGTGGCTTCTCAATATCTTTGGTAGATTCCCTGCCACTAGTTGAGATCCTTTGAATGGCAATATGAAAAAATGAACCTCTTCAACACTTGAAGCATGTGTTCCACCACTGACCCTTTTTGATAATGTTTTAAGGTTATTGCCTATGAACTTCCCTTTGCATATAGCAGATGAAGTCTTCTTTGGATGGTTTACTTTGCAGGAAGAGAACTGAAGAAATATACAGCCAAGAGGAATAACATTTTGAAGCAGTTTATTTGGGGGCAATTATGGTGTGGTTATGACTATTTTCTGTCCTACACAAATATTTCTCATATTGTGTAAGGGAAAAAAGGGGCTGTTTAGTTTTGATTGCCACCTTAAATAATACATACATATCTTTAATTAGACCCGAGGCTTTACAAAACTAGGAGTTTATAGTTTCTTGTTGAAATGTATTATTCAGTAAATATTTACATTTTGGCTGAATATATAATTTGTCATGTCTACATGACAAATTATAATTTGTCATGTTTCTTTTTTCTGTCTGTGCTGCAACTTGATAGAACAGAACATCTGCTGATGCTAGAATTATGTGTGAGCACTGCCTTCAATTCTTTAAAGGTTGGCGGTGAGCTCCCATCTGTCAGCTCCAGCTTCTCTTGCGGGGACATGAGAGAAGCTTCCCACAGGATGGTAAAACATCCAGGCATCCCCTGAGCAGCATCCTTGCAGACAACCAATTTTCTCACACCAGAAGCAACTTGCAGTTTCTCAAGTCACTCCTGACACACACACAAAAACTTTTCCTACTCATTTGGCAGTTGTACACCAGTTTTTTCAGTTCTGAATATAGAACGTTACTCAGATTAGGATACACCTAGTTAGGAAAATCTAACAGGAAGAACTTATTTTTGCTATTAGCAAGAATGAGGTTTACAGTTGAATTTGCAATGCTAGACAATTTTAATATGTAATGTTTCTTTTTGGATTTCAGAGATGCTTTAGAGATTGTTGGAAGGGTTGTTTAGAAACTTTTTTATTTATAATATCTAAAATATTTTCCAAACTGCACATTGTATGCACATTGTATGTTTCCTTTGCCTGTGAATACAGTTCTAGGAGCAAGACATGCAGGATCAGGCATGTAGCCGGGGGGGGGGGGCGCTCGGGGGGCTTCAGCCCCCCCCACGAAATTTTCATGGTGGTTCGCGAAAAGGCCTTAATGGTGCATTATTTAAACTGTTATGTTTATTCATATCATGATCTGATCACTGTACTCAATATATCCCATATGCATGGGGGTATTGGGGTAACGATACAAAAGGTTTGCTAGGGTAGACCCTCTTTCACTCAGACTCAGCCCCCACCCCCGAACCAAACTCACCCCCTGAAAAAAAAACTCAGGCCCCCCCCCCCCCGAAACGAAATCCTGGCTACGGGCCTGTGCAGGATGCTTTCATATGGAGTTCCCTAGCACTAACAATTAAAAGTCTCTATGCTGTTATTTAATATTTCCTGCTATAACAGGCATAGGCAAATTTGGGCCATCCAGGAGTTTTGGACTTCAACTCCCACAATTCCTAACAGCTTCAGGCCCTTTCCTTTTCCCCCTCAACCACTTAAGCCTGAGGCTGTTGAGAATTGTGAATAACAGCATTCAAAAGGAAAGGGCCTGAGGCTGTTAGGAATTGTGGGAGTTGAAGTCCAAAACTCCTGGGCGGTCCAAGTTTGCCCATGCCTGCTGTATAACAATGGATTTTCTTAGATATAGGCAAAAATATGGATACAACTGTTGGAAAATTGGAAGGTTACAAAAGAAAATGACCTCATGTAGCCACCCCCCCCCCTGTCAAAATAAAACCTCGTCCTGAAGCACCTATGCTATAGGTCCTGTATCCTCCTTGTATACAGTAAGGTAAAGGTAAACGTTTCCCCTGACATTAAGTCTACTCGTGTCCGACTCTGGGGGTTGGTGTTCATCTCAATTTCTAAGCCAAAGAGCTGGCATTGTCCATAGACACGTCCAAGTTTATGTGGCCAGCATGACTGCATGGAGCGCTGTTACCTTCCTGCCAAGGTGGTACCTATTGATCTACTCACATTTGCATGTTTTTGAACTGCTAGGTTGGCAGAAGCTGGGCCTAACAGTGGGAGCTCATCCTGCTCCCCAGATTCAAACCACAAACCATTTAGTCAGCAAGGTCAGCAGCTCAGTGGTTTAACCCACTGCGCCACCAGAGAGTACCCCTGTATACTGTATGAACACCTTATCCATTGACTTATCATCCATGATTTCACTTACCCATGATTCAAAAAAATTCTCCTGGAATTGTTTGTGGGCCTCTCTAGGTCCTCCAGTGTGATCCTATGGTATGAGTCTGGTCCAAGTGTAATCAAAGCATAGGGTTCAGTATTATTCATAGTTTCAGGTATCCATGGCTGGTAGTGTTCTTGGAATGTGTCTTCCACAGATACAAGGTCTTTGCCTCCTCAGTGAAAAATTATCTGGCAGGATTCAAACAGAATGGTCCCCTTTTCTCTTTACATTTTAGAAATAGGTTGCTGGGGGCTTTTTCTCTTGTCTTCATCCTCTGAAGTGGAAGGACCTGCTCTCCTTGTATCAAAGCAGTCTTTAAAGGCAAATTCTCCAAAGAACATTTTTCACTTTATTAATAAGACTAACCTGCACATGTCTTTTCCTAGGAGAGTTTGGCTTTCATAGTTATATAAACCCTCTGCATATTTATCAACCATTAAAATGGAGCACAGTGAAAATTTCTGGTAGTAACATTAATTAAAATCAAGACTTAGAATCAAATAACATCCTCATCTCATTTGTGGAGCCCCTCCTGGTGCAATGGGTTAAACCCTTATGCCGGAAGGATTGCTGACCGACAGGTCAGCGGTTCGAATCCGAGGAGAGCAGGTTGAGCTCCCTCTGTCAGCTCCAGCTCCCCATGCAGGGACATGAGAGAAGCCTCTCACAAGGATGGTAAAAAAAATCAAACATCCAGGCATCCCCTGGGCAACGTCCTTGCAGACAGCCAATTCTCTCACACCAGAATCGATTTGCAGTTTCTTAAGTTGCTCCTGACATGAAAAAAAAAAACCTCATTTACCAGATAAAACAATCAGCACTGTGAAATTATTTTAAAATGAATTAAATGCATTATCTGAGGAAACCTTGCAGTATACATGTGACACGTACTATACCTAGAAGAACAATCAAATTGACACAAACCCTCTTGTTTTCTCACCCCTTTCATTCCAGGTAACCACAGACCTGCTGACAAGGAACGCAAAAGACATTGCCTTTGCCCCCTACAGTCCAATTTGGAAATACCAGCGCAAGCTAGTGCACTCTGCCCTTGCCATGTTTGGGGAGGGATCTCTAGCCCTGCAGAAGATAAGTAAGTGATCCAGTTTAAATGCTGGGATGCTTCCAAAGGAATATAAACCAAGTGTGCCAGGGAGAGAAGCATCTCACAGTGGCATTAGGCTTAATTTGCAACAACCTGTGAGGCGAACTGGCTCAGTTTGTTTCTTGCCTGGCTCTTCCAAGTCCCAGTACAACTCTGTAACCCTCTATCATCTTGGCATAACTGCTAACTATAGTTAAGAATTTCTTTTAAGCATGGAGGGAGTACAAAAGAAGGATAAATTATAAATGTTTGAGCTTGTTGACATGTGTGCAAACATGTTAAATAAAATGATATCTATTTAAATCTTCCAAGTATACTGTTTACTGAAAACTGTGGCCACAATTCATGCTTTATTCTGGGGCATTGCTATCTTGGGGTCGTGGGGGAGGGGGCACATGGATTCAAGATCTACACTTTCAATGGTTTCGGGCATGAAATCACAACATCAGAGACAGGCCCGTAGCCAGGATTTCGTTTGGGGGGGGGGCTAAAAAATTCAGGGGGGTTTCAGGGGGGGGCTGAGTTTCGGGGGGCTGAGTCTGAGTGAAAGAGGGTCTACCCTAGCAAACCTTTTGTATCATTACCCCAATACCCCCATGTATATGGGATATATTGAGTATGGTGATCAGATCATGATATGAATAAACATAACAGTTTAAATAATGCACCAGTAAGGCCTTTTCGCGAACCACCATGAGAATTTGGGGGGGGGGGGGCTGAAGCCCCCCAAGCCCCCCCCCCCCCCCCCTACATGCCTGATCAGAGGTGTAACAATGTGGTAGGGTTATAAGAATTTCCTCTCCACTTTTGATGTTTCTCTCACCCAAATATTGTTTAGGGTTCATATGTTGCAAAACCTCATGGTTTCTTGACTCCAAAGAAACCCCAGGGAATACAATGTAGCAGGACACCATGATTGAATTGTTGCCGGCAGGACTGCTGACCTGAAGGTTGGGTTGCTGCCCTGAAGGTTGCTGGTTCGAATTCATGGATGAGTCCTTCTGTCAGCTCCAGCTTTCCATGTGGGAACATGAGAGAAGCCTCTCACAAGGATGGTAAAACATCAAACATCCATTTTGCCCACGTCTATGGCAAGCATCCTCAGAGGTTGTGAGGTCTCTTGGAATCTAGGCAAGTGAGGTTTGTATATCTGTGGAGGTTTATATATGTGTGGAATGCCCGGGGTGAGAGAAAGAAATCTGGTCTATTGGAGGCAAGTGTGACTGTTGCAATTGGCCACTTTGATTAGCATTTAATGGCCTTGCAGTTTCAAAGCCTGACTGCTTCCTGCCTGGGAGGATCCTTTGTTGGGAAGTGTTAGCTAGCCCTGACTGATTATTGACTGGAATCCCCCTATTTTTTGAATGCTGCTTTTTATCTACTGTCCTGATTTTAGAGTTTTTTTTTAACACTGGTAGCCAGATTTTGTTCATTTTTATGTTTTCCTCCTTTCTGTTGAAATTTTCCACATGCTTGTGAATTTCAATGGCTTCTCTGTGTATTCTGACATGGTAGTTGTTAGAGTAGAATTCCAGACAAGAATCAATCAGGGCTAGCTAACACCTTCCAACAAAGGATCCCCCAGCACGAAGCAGTCAGGCTTTAAATCTGCAAGGCCATTAAATTCTAATCAGGGTGGCCGATTGCCAAGTCATGTTTTCTCCTGTTGGAGGAACATTCCGTTAATAACCTTTATAATGGGCCTGGTCCAACAGAAGTTGACTATAGAGCTGTGCCAAAGGACTTAGACATCATTTATTTGTTTAGAGGTCCAAAGGATTCCCCCAGGCAGGAAACAGCCAAGCTTTGAAACTGCAAGGATATTCAATGCTAATCAGTTGCAACAGTTCTTTCTCTCACCTTGGACATCCACAGATATATAAACCTCCTTGCCTAATTTCCAACAGACCTCACAACTTCTGAGGATACCTACCATTGATGTGGGCGAAACATCAGGAGAGAATGCTTCTGGATCATGGCCATACAGCCCGGAAAACTCATAGCAACCCAGTGATTCTGGCCATGAAAGCCTTCAACAACACAGCGTCCCTGTATCTCCTCCCTTATGCACCTCTCCTTTAATTCCCATTTCTAAAGAATTCATAGTTTCTTCCTGTGTCTCTTCCTCTGCACTATTCTTCTAGTCTGTCAAGAAGCGAATTGTTTGTGTGAAACTCTGTGTGCTGCCCAGGATTCACCTCTGGACATGTCACCTGAGCTGACACGGGCTGTGACGAATGTGGTTTGCTCCCTTTGCTTTAACTCATCCTACCAACGTGGGGATCCTGAATTTGAGGATATGCTAAAATACAGTCAAGGCATCGTGGACACGGTTGCCAAACAAAGCATGGTGGATATCTTTCCTTGGCTTCAGGTGAGCACTTTAGTGAGGAACATGCAGAAACGACAACAAATATTCTATTCCTCAAGTAGAGCTTCCAGAAATGGGAAAGTTGATAGCCCCATCTCAGAAATCAATTACCGTAATAAATCTACCTAGATCTGGTAGAGATCCCTTCCTACAGCTGACAAAAACGGTTTGGTCAGTGAGTCATCCCACAATTTCACTTTTGTCATCAGAAGAACCATAGGAGGGTAGACGGTATTTTCGACAAAATACATCCCATACTTTGGGTGGTGCAGGGAGTGCTACCTTTAATTCTGTCTTCAATATTGCATTGATCAAGAGGAGAAAATCAATGTTACCTGCTTGAATAACATCAATGTAATGCAAACACTTTCTATTTACATGTGTGTGCTTCTTTCTGCACAGAATATATACTTTGGATGGAAAGCCCAAAAGATCAATAAGGCTTTTCTGGAAGAGAAATTCTCCATATTTTTATGAGATTTGGAAGCAAATGCAGGATGCAAGAAATGTATAAAAAGACAGAAGCACCTACTTTTGTGTTAGAAAAAATCAACAGGCAACTGAATTCGTTCCTATCTAAGCCTCAATGTTAGCATGTTCTAGGATTGTGAGGCATGAATGCAATCAAAAGAGGGTCTTGACATAAAGTTTTCGATCTTTTCCCCACAGTTTTTACCCAATAAAGAATTGGCATTGCTGAGGAAGTGTGTGGGGATGAGAGATCAGCTTCTACATCAGAAGTTTGAAAAACATAAAGTAAGTATCACCACTCAGAAAATGCAGGGCAAAAAACATAGGATTATAGGAGTATCCTGTCTATTTTAGACACGACTCCTCTGAAATAGACAGGCTGCTAGTGGTAATCAGAGTAACTGACTACAACTAACAAATGGCTTGTTATTTTTTGATAATTAAGAGATATCCAAGTTACATTATGGGCATAAGGTGTAGGAAGAGACAGCTTCATGTCTTTTCCAGTAAAGCTGCAAAGAAAAGGTTTCCCTTGACTTTAAGTCAGGGGAAACCCCCTGAGTTGTGTCCGACTCTGGGGGGTGGTGCTCATCTCCATTTCTAAGCTGAAGAGCCAGCGTTGTCCGTAGACACCTCCAAGATCACGTGGCCAGCATGAGTGCATGGAGCACTGTTACCTTCCCGCCAAGGCGGTACCTATTGATCTACTCACATTTGCATTTTAAACTGCTAGGTTGGCAGAAACTGGGTCTAACAGCGGGACCTCACCCCACTCCCCGGCTTCGAACTGCCAACCTTTTGGTCAGTAAGTTCAGCAGCTCAGAGGTTTAACCTGCTGCGCCACCAGGGAGCCAATAAACTGTAGCAGTGGTTTATTTCCTTTACTAGTTAAAGAATGCACATGGCCTCAAGTTCTTGCTACTTTTGTGCTACAGGCCAATGTTTTGTTGTATGGTTAGGTTACATTTTTACTACATCACAACTGGACTTGCACTCTGTCCTTTCTTCTGATGTTTGGCAGCCAGGATTTTACTGCCATGATTCTATGAATGGATGGGGAGGAAGGGTATATTTTGCTGCACATCTTACTGGCTCAAGCACTCCATCATAATGAAATAATCTGTTGCCAAGAACATGTATGCATGAAATGCTTCCGTTTTTATTTACTGCTCAACCATGGAGACCAACTTTGTTCTGTAGCTCCTCCGATATGCCTCAGTCTTAGCCCACAGACCTCACCTTCTCCTTGTTCTCCTCCTCCTTTTCTTCTCCTTTTCTTCCTCCTCTTCCTCCTCCTCCTCCATCCTCCTCCTTTTCTTCTTCCCGCTCCTCCTGCTCCTCCTTCTCTTTCTCCTCCTCCTCCTCCTCCTTCCCAGGAAGAGTTCAGCAGTGATTCTGTCAATGACCTCATGGATGCGCTTCTGAGAGCCAAACTGAATGCAGAGAACAACAACAGCCACATATTATCTCAGCAGGGGCTGACAGATGACTACCTGCTCATGACGGTAGCTGACATTTTCGGTGCAGGTGTGGAAACCACCACTACTGTACTGAAATGGACTGTCCTCTATCTCCTACACTACCCAGAGGTACCAAATCCTTCTGCTCTGTTTGGGCTCTTGGGAAGAAAGAAATAGGTGGGAAAAGGCTGCTATGTTGATAATCATTACTCCATTGTTATTGCTCCTCAGTAGTCGAATTCCTTCTCCCTTTCCAGGTCCAGCAAAAGATCCAAGAGGAGATTGATCAGAACCTTGGCTTTAGCAGGCATCCTTTGCTCAGTGACAGGCAGCATTTGCCTTACTTGGAGGCTACCATCAGTGAAGTTCTGCGTATTCGTCCTGTCTCTCCACTTCTTATCCCACACGTGGCACTGGAAGATACAACGTGAGTCCTGTTTCCATCAGTGGCATCCCTTGTAAAGTCAATGGGAGGGGAGATAGCAGCCAGGTCTTCAAGGGAGGAAAGGCACTGATGGAATTTCTGTTCTGCAGCATTGGGGAATATGACATCCCAAAGGGGGCTCAAGTTGTGATCAACCTATGGTCCATTCATCATGATGAAAAGGAGTGGGAGAAACACCACGAGTTCAATCCAGGTGGGCATGCAAAACTTCCCTCCCTGCTGGTATCTGGTTCCATTTTTCTATTTTCTTAGCCCTTGAACCTCACAACAGGGATCTCTACTTCTATCCCAGTGCTGCCTACACCAAATGTAGGATTATCAACGCTCTGTTCTAATACTGTTCCACACCAATGCCACCAACTAGGAGCTCCCAGTGGTGCAGTGGGTTAAATCCTTGTGCCAGCAGGACTGAAGACCAACAGGTCATAGGTTCGAATCTGGAGAAAGCGTGGATGAGCTCCCTCTGTCATCTCCAATTGACATGAGAGGAGCCTCCCACAAGGATGGTAAAACATCAAACACCCGGGTGTCCCCTGGGCAACGTCCTTGCAGATGGCCAATTCTCTCACACCAGAAGCGACTTGCAGTTTCTCAAGTCACTCATGACATGAAAATAATGCCACCTATGAGGATTACTGTGGGTCTTTACATTTCATTATTCTGAACAGTATTCCCTGCAAATATTTACCTGCTTCTGCCACATGTAAGGACTCCCTTCTGTTGTCCTTCTGTCAACCACCAGTTGGGTCAGTCTAGATGCCCTCTAGGTTCCCATGAGGATTAAAACCTCACAACCTCTGAGAATGCCTACCATAGATATAGGTGAAACGTCAGGAAAGAATTCTTCTGGAACATGGCCATATAGCCCAGAAAACTCACAACAACCCAGGATTTATATGACTTCTATCCTCAACAGGATCTTCAGTGCTACACCCCTAACTCCTGTGAAAGTGGAGGGCCTGCTGTACACTTTGTTCTGTTGTCTATTCGAGGAAGGAAGATAGAATTCTAGAAAGAAATCTCACAATGATTTTCTTCTACTATTGTGTGTTATAGAGTTTGACATGTTTTCTAAGGTAACCTGCCTTTCCTTCTATACACAGATCGTTTCTTGGATGAGGACGGGAACCGAATCTACAGCCCTTCTCCAAGTTACCTCCCTTTTGGAGCTGGTGTTCGGGTTTGCTTGGGAGAAGCGCTGGCCAAGATGGAGCTCTTCCTCTTTATTTCCTGGATCTTGCAGAGATTTACCCTGAGCATTCCTGAAGGCCAGACGCTGCCTGCCCCAGAAGGCAAGTTTGGAGTTGTGCTCCAAGTGCCAAAGTTCAAGGTGAAAGCTACACTGCGGGAAGCTTGGAAAGGAAAGTAATGGGTCAGTTATGGAATTTCATCTAATGAAGCTGCCCTAATCAATTTAAAAGAAAGGGGGTGCCTGTTCATCCAAACCAGTAAAGGTTTACTGGATACATAGGAGACTTTGAAGAAGGAAAAATAACTGCCTGGTATAGGAGACAAAGGCAATTTTTCAAAAAATACAGTAGACTCATAGGATCAATGAAGAAAGGACACTGTAACTCATTATGTTAATTTTTTAAAATTATTTTTTGACAAAGAGAAAAAAATGAAATGGAGGGGGGAAATTCCCTAAAATAGTCCTGTACTGTTATTTATTCCCTCTATAGTGGTTCTCAGCCTGTGAGTCCCCAGGTGTTTTGGCCTACAATTCCCAGAGATCCAAGCCAGTTTACCAGCTGTTAGGATTTCTGGGAGTTGAAGGCCAAAACATCCACAGGTTGAGAACCACTGTGAGTATAGCACTTGTTCCTTGATTGTCCCCAACCAAGTCTGCTCTTGCTTAGCAACCACAATTAGATGGGATCTGGTACCTTCATCTTAATTAGAACTGTATGCTCTTATTATCTCTCAAGTAAAGTACAACCTCCAGAGTTCCCCACCTAGTATGTCCAGAGTTGTAATCCAAAAGGGAACTTTTTCCAAGCTTGTTCAAGAAACTTGATAAATTCATCAGCACTTCACCTCAGCAGTCAAGACATTTGTGGAGTTCCTGAGTGTCTTCCTGGCAAGCTGGAAGAAAACTGAGGAGGCTGTTTATTTTCTCTCAATGTGCCCAGAAGGCAGAGTTCTTGAGGTCATGTAAGGCATTAGTTGTAAAGTAATATTTTAAAAGATTTTAATTCTGTTATAGTTTGTACTGTTTTAATCTCAACTTTTGTATGTTTGTAACTACATGTGCTTCCATTGTATTCATGCTTTTGATAAAAATCCTTGAGTCCCAGACTGGAAGAAAGGTGACATATTAATAAACTGCTAATTATGATAATGATGGTGTATCCCTCAACATCACTTGAATGTCAGTAGCAGAGCATTGTGCATTAGTATTTAGATTATTCTTTTCATTTGTTGTAAACATGTGGTGTAGGATATAGTTTTTTCCTCTATGTTTTGTATATACATAAATAATAAAATAATGTTTTCTCAGCATTCGCAGAATCCTGTGTTTTTTATTTTGCTTAAAAAAAACTTTACAAAACTAAATTGAAGCGCATGTTTTAGTTAATTTTTTTTTCTGGAATGCTTGCATAGAAGAAAAGATAGGAAGAAAACTTTTCTGGAGAGAAGAAAAACAATAATCTGAGGATTCACAGCTGAAGAAAATGTTCCTTGTTGAATTCTTTTACAACAATAGTTCTCAACCTGTGGTCCATGGACCACCAATCGTCCATAAAAACTAAAATATGGTCTGTGGCCTCACTGTTGGTACCCCGTTGCAATGAGAGTGACTGGTCTCACGAAATCCTCTTACAGTGCCGAGGCTTATTAAATATAGTTTCCTCTGGGCGAGCAGATGGTGGCTACTGGATGGCATATGAAACTAGAGAATGGCATCAGAAACTAGAGCTGATGTGGTCTATCCAATGCAATTTTCTGAATCAGCATCCCAAATAATCGAACCGAATCTAAAGTTGACCAAAACATGATTCATAACTCTTTTGGTACTAATGTTGGAGAGTGGTCTCTGGTAAAAGTGATCACTGGTCAAAAAAAAAAAAAAAAAAGAGGCTGGGAGCCACTGTTTTACAAGAAAGCAAACCCTACTGTGTTCAGTGAGATTTACACCAGTTACTCTTTTACAGTATAAGAATTAAATGAATTAAAACAAGGAAATAGGAAAGTTTGGGAATTTTAAAATGCAGGAAGTTGCAAGGGTTCAACATAATATGATGCACTTTTACTTGGAAGTAAAACCTTTTGTATTTAGTGCAGTGGTTCACAACCTGAGGTCCCCAGATGTTTTTGGCCTACAACTCCCAAAAAGCCCAGCCAGTTTACCAGCTGTTAGGATTTCTGGGAGTTGAAGGCCAAAAACATCTGGGGACCCCAGGTTGAGAACCACTGATTTAGTGGTATTTAGTCTCAGATTTATTGCCTATATAATTGTAGACAGAATCTTTCTTGGAGAGTTGAATTTTCAGTTTACTGGCTTTTCCTACTATAGTGACAGAGGACTTTCTCACATTGGGATATACTCCATCTCAGAGTCTTTGAATACGATTCTAAACAGGTCTTATGACAAGATGTTTTCCTCATTCCATAGTAATTTATTTTATTTATTTATTTGCAGTATTTATATTCCACTCTTCTCACCCCGAATGGGACTCATGGGTGTCTTATGGGTGCCTTCAATACCTCCCCACTAAGCAGTACCTATTTATCTACTCACATTGTCATTTTTGAAACTGCTAGGTATGCAGAAGATGGGCTAATCCATTGAAATTTATCTACAAAATGAAATTTGTCTACAAAATTTGTCTAATTGAATTTTAAAAATTTGCTACATTTTTATTTGTTGCTAAAGTGCTGTTTTTACATGTGATTGCAAAATCAGTATGCAATCCATCAGCTAAATGTTTTGAGATTTCAGTTCGAGACTTCCAGGCTGTGTCACTGCACAATATTATTTTTTAAAGTGACATAGGGAGGCCATTGAATGGATTGGGAGGAGCCAATGAATCAAAGCACAATATTTTCAGATCATAAGAATCATTATAATCAGGTGTGCTAAGGACAGTATGCGTCCCATCTGAATATAGCATGTATCCAGTCCTAAGAACATACGGGATGCATACTAATATAAACGGATTATATCCCAATGTGATGACAGACACTTATCTCTATATATGTATACATGATGCAGAGTGCTTTCACAACTTCTAAAAGCCATACTTGTATGATTTACAGATGTTCAAAATTCTGGCCAGATTAAGCTATTTATGCCACTTTTTGCTGAAATAAAGAGCTTGGCCATTTGCTTTGGCCATAAAAGCACAAGGTGCAAGATGCACATCTGCCAGAAAGCTAGCTCTATTTCCTCTCCAATGCTCTTAATATTTAACTAAATAATGAGCTGGCTGAAGAACAGACTGCATTGACACAAAGCATGTTGAATGTGAAAAACATTGAACTGGATTAGAACATATCTGAAATATTCAATTTTCCACAATTTTTCCATATTCCATCTGTTTTCCCAATTCAAATGGATTGGGAGGAGCCAGCCTTCCATAGTGTGATGAATCAAAGCACAATATTTTCAGATCATAAAAATGATAAATAAAAAAGAAGGCTACTTTTAACTGACTAAATATATCCTGAAATCAATTAAAAATTGGCTAAGAACTGGAGGATGTATTATCTTAATCAAGCAGAAATATTCTATGTTCTTTTGCATATCTGTCAGCGAAAAATCTGCTCTGTTGAATTTAAATGACATATAATGAATCATAGAATCCTAGGGTTGGAAGAAATTGCAAAGGCTATCCAGTCCAACCCTCTGCAATCCAGGAACACAATCAAAGCACCCCCTCACAGATGGCCATCCAGCTCTGGTTTAAAAACCTCCAAAAAGGTGACTCTGACACACAGTATAAAAATTAATATGGGTACCATTCACACTAAATGGCTATAGCGCTATTATTCTACTTTATTTATTTAATTTATTAATTTACTATATTTCTGCGCTGCTCTTCTCACCCTGAAGGAGACTCAGAGTGGCTTACAGTTTGGCCACGTTAGTGCCACATTGCAAATATGCAGTGTATAAATACATCACATTAGATAAAAAAATGGATAAGCAAATATATGCAATAAAACTGTTAAAGCATAGCCTTAAACCCATAGTCGTCCTTCATGCTGCTGCATTCAAGTCAGTTCCATATTGTACTATTCCCCAAATACCTGGTTCCAAAGCCGGGCCTTCACTTTTTTTTCCTGAAGACCTGGAGGGAGGAGGCCAATCTAATATAACTGGGGAGGAAGTTCCATAGCCGAGGAGTCACCACTGAGGTGGTCAATTCTGCTAATCAAGGTGGTCAATTGCAATATTCACATCTGCCTCAAATAGACAAGAATCCGTTCTCCCACCCTGGACATTATTCCACAGATATATAAACCTCACTTGCCTAGTTTCCAACAAACCTCACAACCTCTGAGGATACCTGCCGTAGATGTGGGAAAAATGTCAGGAGAGAATGCTTCTGGAAAATGGCCATACAACCCAGAAAACTCACAGCAACCCAGTGATTCCAGCCAAGAAAGCCTTCGACAACACATTTTCTACATTTGTTTGCGACCATTGTGGCTGAATCCCTTATTTTTTAAATTAAATTATTCCTTTATTGCCTAATTGCAGCCAATTAGGACTCATGCAATGAGTATAATAATATCTCTGTGAAATGTAGCCAAACAGATTTGTCTATGGAATGACACCACTGAAGACAAATAAAGTCTCATGTTGATCTCGGTCAATTTTGTAAAAAGCTCACTAGAGGGCATCAGACCTACATCTACTTACGTGTTCTGCATGGAGAAAGTTTTTCAAAGGAATAACCTAGACAATTTATTTTATATCTCCGTTTTCTCCCTAAGTGGGATTCAAAGCAGATAATTTTTGTTGTGTCAGGAGCGACTTGAGAAACTGCAAGTCGCTTCTGGTGTGAGAGAATTGACCATTTGCAAAGACGTCGCGCAGGAGACAGCCAGATGTTTTGATGTTTTACCACCCTTGTGGGAGGCTTCTCTCATGTCCCTGCATGGGGAGCTGGAGCTGACAGTGGGAGCTCAACCTGCTCTTTCCTGATTCGAAACCACTGACCTTTTGGTCAGCAATCCTGCCAGCACAATCTGCGCTACTGGGCACTCCAGATCACAAATAAAAATAGTTAAAAGAATACAATTAAAAGCAAACAAAAAAGTAATGTAATTTAATAGGAAAATAATACAAAAGTTAAAGGCATTAAAAAGTGGGCACCCCCCTTTCCTCCCCGAGAATAGCCGACATCAAAAAGCCTGCTTGCAATGTCGTCTGTCTGCTCACACAAGGAAAGCAGAGAGCTGGATTTTGTTGAAGTCCTATGGCACTTTACAAACCAGGCATGAGCAAACTTGGGCCATCCAGGTGTTTTGGACTTCAACTCCCACAATTCCTAGCAGCCGTTAGGGTGTTAGGGATTGTGGGAGTTGAAGTCCAAAG